TGTTGACGTGTTTAGTCGCTATAACACCACGAATGATCTCATCGCGTACAAAATGCACATCACGAGCAACATGCTTTGTTCGAGCATGAAACACGGGATTAGCAGCAAGCATTATTGCGGATAAACTGTCGGAGTGAAGAGTTATTGGTGTAGTAACCTTAATGCCGAGCGATGGCAGCAACTCACGAAGCCATAGTATTTCTTGCACAGTATCCGCCATTGCACGATATTCAGCTTCGGCCGAAGAACGAGATACAACATCATGCTTACGTGTTTTCCAAGATAATGGTGATTCACCGAATTGTATGAACCAACCAGTAAGAGACCGGGAGGTTAGAGGACAAGCACCATGATCCGAATCACACCAAGCAGTTAAAGTCAAAGGTGTATTAGCACGAAGTAAAATACCTTGACCAGGGCTGTTCTTTAAGTATCGTACGACACGAAGAGCAGCATTCCAATGAGAGTTGTGAGGAGTATTCATGAATTGCGAGAAAATATGGATAGCATAAGACAGCTCGGGTCGCGTATTACCTAAGTAAATGAGACGACCAACGAGACGACGATAACGTGTAGGATCCGAGAAGTCACCGTCCTTGGCAAGAGAGAGCTTGTGATTTTGCTCTAAGGGAAACGTAATCGGCTTCACACCCATCAGACCCGTTTCCGTAATAATGTCAAGTGCGTACTTGCGTTGACACAAATAAATCCCGGCAGGACTGCGAGCAACCTCAATGCCCAAAAAGTATCGAAGAATGCCCAAGTTTTTCATGCGAAAACACGAACTCAAGTAGTGTTTAAACTCATTGACGAGATGAATGGAGCTTCCCGTGATGATAAGATCGTCGACATAAACCAAAACATGAAGTCGAGAAGCAGCATTTTCAAACGTGAATAGGGAATAATCGGAATAATCTTGCTTGAAACCATAATCTTTCAAAGCGGAGCCAAGGTTCGCAAACCAACAACGAGGTGCTTGTTTCAATCCGTATAGCGATTTTCGAAGACGACAGACTTTTGTATTATCATCCGTACGAAATCCAGGAGGAAATTTCATGTAAACTTCCTCTTCAAGATCACCATGGAGAAACGCATTATAAACGTCCATTTGATGAACTTCCCAATCCAAAGAAGCGGCCTGTTGAAGAAATGCTCTAACAGTGATCATTTTTGCAACAGGAGCGAAAGTCTCAGAGTAGTCAATACCTTCTTTTTGATTATTTCCAAGAACAACAAGCCGAGCTTTATGTCTTTCAAGGGAACCGTCTGCATTGTATTTTAGACGAAATACCCACTTACATCCGATAGATTTCTTATCAGGTGGAAGATCCTCAACTGTCCATGTTCCATTGTCTTCTAAAGCCTCTATTTTATCTTTAACTGCAAGCCTCCAGTTTTCGTCACGTATAGCCTCGTTGTAGTGTTGAGGCTCATGACCAGAGGTTATAGCCAACAAATAAGCTTGGTATTTGTCGGAGAATTGTGAGCTGGAGACGAAATTGTCAATGGGATATGGTGTAGCAGAAGGCATAGGCGTGTAGATTAGGGAAGTGACATAATCTGCAAGCCGTACGGGTGGAGTTTTCTTCCTATATCCAAATCCAAGTTTTTCAGGTTCTGGTTCTGTGTCTTCATCAGTTGAAATCGAAGAAGAAACAGTTCCGTCACTTTGAGAAATCGTGTTTTGAGGTGATTCATTTCTGTTGGCAGTAGGAGCAGAAGAAGAATCTTTGTTTTGAGCAGGATCTGTTACGACGTCACTTTCTTTTTCTGCAGGCTGAGAATCCAAAGAAACAGAGTCTTGCTCTGTTTGAGATGAAGTCACTGTTAAATCTGCAGGTTGAGACGCGGATGGAGATGAAGAAGACATTGATGGCGTTGGTTGAATGGTGATCGGGACAACGGAAGGTTCGTGTGAGGAGACATTGAACTGGTCTTGATCAGTCACAAAATCAATGTCATCAAAACTGTGAGACTGTTGCGACGTGGAAAGCAAACGTGGTGAAGAAGATGCTTCAACAGCAAATGGAAACTCTGATTCTCGAAACACGACGTCACGAGAAACTGACACTGCTCCGGTTTCGAGATTGTAGACACGCCATCCCTTTTTACCAAATGGATATCCAATGAAAATCGATTGTGTGCTTCTTGTTGCAAATTTATCACCTCGATGTTTTTGGTTATGAACATAGCATAAACTACCAAATACTCGCAGATGATTCATTGGCGGTGGTCGGTTGTAGATGAGCTCAAATGGAGTTTTCCCATCAAGAATCTGTGTAGGAGTTCGATTTATGAGATATCCAGCTGTTAGTGCACAATAGCTCCAAAACTCAGCGGGAAGATTAGCTTGAAAGAGTAAAGCTCTAGCAACATTAAGAATGTGACGATGTTTCCTTTCAACGCGGCCGTTTTGCTGCGGAGTTCCAACACAAGAAGTCTCATGAATAATCCCTTTTTCAGCAAAGAAATCTCGCAAACATATGAATTCGGATCCGTTATCACTGCGTATAGTCTTTACTTGAGTTGAAAATTGACGTTCAACAAGAGCTAAGAAATTTTTGAGATGTGTTGGAGCTTCTTGTTTTGATGGCAACAAGTAAATCCAAACTGCTCTTGAATAATCATCAAGTATGGTGAGAAAATATCGAGATCCGCAGATAGAAGTAGTACGATACGGACCCCAAAGGTCGCAGTGAATCAATTCAAAAGCAACACTCGTCTTATTATAACTTAAAGGAAAAGACTCTCGTGTTTGTTTTGCACGAATACAAACGTCACACGCCTTTGAATCAAACTTAGTACTAAAATCCAAAAACTTCAACATATTCAAAGCTTTAGAAGAGGGATGACCCAAGCGAGAATGCCACACTTCAAGAGATGATGAATCCACATGATGAGCAGCTGCTGCTACTTCCACTCCTCTAAAAAAATAAAGTCCATTTTGTTGCTCACCCGCGCCAATCAGGATCTTGGTGATGCGATCCTGAACAATACAAAGCCTATCAGTAATCTGAAACACACAACCCCGTTCTCTAGTCAACTGCGAAACTGATATAAGATGGCACTTCAAACCATCGACGAAAAACACGTTCTGGAGACACAAGGATGAACCAAGTGATACACGGCCCATTTTTGTAGCTGTAGTTAATCGTCCATCAGGCAACTTAATAAGAACAGGTGCCATTTCCCGAATATCCAACAAAAAATTGAGAGTCCCTGTCATATGATTAGAAGCCCCTGTATCAATGATCCAAGATTCGATAAAGAACATACCCGATTGATGATCAGTGGAACGAGATTTTCTTTCTTCAAAAATGTTAACCAAAGTGTTCCATTGATCGTTGCTCAAGCCACTTATTCCGACACGATCAGCAGGGGTTAACGAGAGAGGCTGTGAAGTGCTGGTGGAGAGTCCAAAATTTGTTGAGACATTGTTCACGTGAGCTGAATTTAAATTCTTTCCAGTCATGGAGCCAACGGATGTCGTCGTAGTTCCACGGCCAGCTCCTCCTTTTCCCGAATTGTTGCCTGATTTATTTCGAAAATTAGAATTTGGTTTAGAGTTCTCTCCCCACCATTCAGGATATCCGATTTTGCGAAAGCAATTATCGGCAATGTGACCGGTACGTCCGCAGATACTACACACGGCTCGGTTGTCATATGGCTTGCGAGGAGGATTTGTTTGAACAGCAAAACTAACTCCATCAATTCGCCCATCGTTGTCTCTGCTCAGATGTTTCGCTTCCTCGTCTAGGGTCAAGGCATTGTAAGCTTCTTCGAGGCTGGGAAGAGGAACCCGAGACAGCAAATTTGATTTCACGGCGCCGTAGAGAGAATCATCAAGACCCATGAGGAATTGGTGTAGTTTATCTTCCTCACGTTCTTTTCTCACTTCTTCCATCGTCTTGGCTCTTTGGTAGTCAGCCAAGCTTCCCCATAATTGTGTGAGTTTGCCATAGTATGCTTCGATAGCAAGTCCTTTCTGTCGACAATTTGCTAACTCTGTTTTGAGGCGCTGAACGCGTTGCCCGTTCTTTACACCAAAACGTTTCTGGACATGCACCCACAGCTCATTAGAATCGTTGATATGGGACAGGGACGAGGAGAGAGCTTCATCGATTGTAAGTCGAATCCAAGAGACCACAAGCGCGTTGTTTGCAGTCCAATCTTCAAAGTCAGGATCATCTTCTGGCGGCTGTGGAATGGTGCCATCCACGAAACCAAATTTTTTCCTTGCTTTAAGAGCTAAACACAAGTTGTTTGCCCATTGGTCATAATTTGGACCTCGCAACAGAGGTTTAGAGATCAAAGTACCCGGATTGTCACTGGAAGTCAGATCGTACGGCGAAATTGTACGCCGTGTCTTGATACGAGGCTGCGCCACCACTTCTGTCAAAGCTGATGAGGTAGATGACGAAGAAGAGGATGCCGTAGCCATCGTGTTAAGAAGAATTCCAACGAAAACAGAGTCGTTGAAAGCTAGGTCAAGAGATCGAAGTTTTTAGAAAGAAAACAGAGTATTATTTTGCGGAATTTAGATCACAAGATCGAGCAACAACCTCTTTGTAGTTAGGTTAATGCTCTGATACCATGTCAAATAACTTAGAGTAGTGTAAATCTTATTGCTTAGGTTTGAAGTTACAATGGTTTGCCTTATATAGTGGCCATGAGAACAAGTATATGACTCGACCTAATCGTAAGATAAACCGTCATTGAAACATAGAGAAAGGCCAAAGCCCATATAGCCCAATAAAACCCTTCATATTGTGAAAATTTACTAAAAGATCACCACCAATTTGCGTAAATCGACCACTAATTGAGAAAAAATCCGACCTTTGATTGAAAAAGTATATGAAATTTTCTTCATCAAATTGCAAATTCTTTGACCTCTCATTGTTGATTGAATTGGTTTGGATGCATGTTGATGAAAATTTACACATTGATTTTGTAGACATACACGCAATTGAGAACAGGGAAAAAGTTATCTACAAAGGATCAAGTTCTTGAGTACTTTAAAATGGAGAAAATTCGAGAAAAACGAGAAGCAGGAATCCAGAGGAATAAAGCAAGTGTATTATCATGTTCTTCTTGAGTAGACTTTTGCAAGTTCTTTGGTCTGTATATAATGTTTCTTTCTATTGTTGCAGTTAAAAGCCTTACAAGATAGAGAGACCGCAAGCGAAAGGCCTTCGTGGCTTCCGGATGAAAGGAAAGCAGAGTTGGGGATTGGTTCTGTTAGTGGACACCCTTACAAGGTATAACTGACTAATCATTTGTGCATTAGTTTGTTATTGAGAGTGAATTAAAGATTTTTGTTTTTGTTTTTTGTTAGATGAATGTGAACACATCAAATGATTTTAAAACCAATCCAAAGGAGACAGTGGTATTAGATGAGAACACTATAGAATCTGAAGATTCATCGGGTGAAGAATACGGAACCGGGTGTAATGAAATTGTAAGATGCATGGTTTTATTTGAAAATTTGGAATCTTGAAAAGAGGTTGCAGTATAGCTGATAGATACAATATTTTTCTTTTCGTTTTTATGGTTTACAAGACGTATGCAATTGAGGAGGATGAAGAAGATTTTTCAGAGAGGGAATATGTCGAAAATGTGGAGAATTTATCCAACATAACCTCTACTCCTGTAAGTGAATGTTTTCTTAGTTTTATTATGTTTCTTCTTGAACATGTATTGATGGGAGTTTTATGTTTTGTTTATCGTAGCTACGGTTACAGCCAGAAAGAATGCAGAAATTGGAGTCTCGAGCAAAAACGCAATGTGTGTTTGAAGGTATGTGGAGAAAAACGCAATAGTTTTTGTCTGTGCAGATGAGGATATGAGTAGTGACAGTGACAACAAACTTATTCCAGAAGCTGAGACCTCGAAAGACGAAAATGCTTGGGGAGAGGCTTGTGTTGTATCTAACCTAGTTGAGTCTTTTGAAGAGAAAAGCTCGCATGGTGTTGTGGTTGAATGTGATGATAAGGCGAGGGAGATCCCGGGTTTGACTGGATCACTTACTGTTGAAATCAACCTGGACTGTGAACCTGCAAGTGATAGTTTGGTAGAGAAGAATTGGAATAAAAGTGGGAGCGAAGGAATAGGAAAAAGATACATTGAGATCATTGACCTAGAGAGTGACGTATGTGGCTCATCAAAGGTTGTTAAAGGGACTCGAGAATCAGGAGATAAGAGTGAAGAGCCTCTGAAAGCTCAAGCTGAGCAGGAGGGACCTGCTAATGAGTGGGTCTTCTTTCCAAACAGAGAAGCCCCTTCACATTCTGTACTTGTCTTTGGCGATTATAATGCTAGATCATGTGTAGAAGATCTTAGCAACACCATTGAGCTTGGTTCAAACCCGCAAGAAAAGAACATCAGTGGCTCTAAAAAGCGGAAGAAGAATACGGAAACATGTTCATCTAAGAACATGAAGAAGAAAGGCATTGAAGCACCAACCAAAAAACTTGAGAAAGGCAAAACACCACCACACAAACCGCATGGCAAGAAGGGAAGTTTGAGTGTAAACATGGACAAAAAACTTGATGATTGGCCTGAGATGTGCCCAAACTTCCCATTTGAACCACTCACAAGATCATTTCAAGTAGAGGATGACTCGGTAATCCGCAAGTACTTGGAGCAACAACACTTTGCAGCTACAGGAAGTGCTGATACTTGTCCATCTTTACCTGATTTCGCATTGGCTAGCTTCTCCAACATCAAAATCTCACTGAATGAAGAACCTGCATCCAAGAAAAAGAAGAATCCTAATCCTCCATGTGTACAGGTTGCAAGTTCAAGCTTACCTAGTTGCAGTTCCATGGGTACTAGTGTGCTACAAACAGTTGCAGGAAACTAAAGAGACACTGAGACTTGACAAGCTTAAGTTGTTCAAAGAAGTCATGTAAGAAAAATTAGTAAACAGGACGTGTATGTATGATCCATAAACTTAAATGAACATTTGTCTTTTCTATGATCTATTTCCTTTTCCTATTAACTTAGGTCGGTTCGAGAGGTCCTATATATCAAGACAACTCAAATCAGATTTCTTTTCTTAGATCATTCTCTTGGGTTCAATATTTTCTCTTGGAATAGTACTCTCAAGGGCTTAATCAGATTGTCACAGGACCAGTTCTCGTAATTCTATATTTGCTATTTCAATTGCTCTTAATCCGGTTATATATCTAAACCGGTTTTCTTTTTATCAATTATTAGTTGGTATATCTAAACCGGCCCTAAGCATTAGCAGAATATTTTCTGACCTCCTTTCTTCTCTCTCTCTCGTCTTCGGTGGTTTTCTTTCTTCTTTCTCTACCTTTCTAAATCTATTTCATGGTTGATTTCTGGATTTGAAGCACTAATCACATACCCACAGATTCGCTGATTCGTTAATTTGATAAAGAAAAAAAAACAATCCTTTTGTCTTGTAAGCATTCTCCTAAACCTCTTTAGTATCTTTCTTCCATGAATCGCCATTTATGATTGTAGGTGATTCTAAAGGTTCAACCTTTTAGCTTCGATTATCGTTGTCCCATCCGTTATTTGGGTTTCGAATAGTGTTTTCGTTAGAATTTGATGACCAATATGAACATGTATAAATCCTTTTTGATATTGCTTTACTCTAGTATTAGTCTATAACAATCCTTTATCCTCTCGGTGAACAATTTGGATACATAAATTCCAGATTTTTCAGATCAATAACTATGAGATTTGTAGATATCATTAGCTCTTTGAGGCTTTTGAGAGGCCTTTGAGATGGTTTCTGTGCATAGCTATTTGTCTCCGAATTTTGCCTTGCGTTCTGGTTTTTTATTCATCTTTGCTTCTTGTTATGTGGTATTCTTTTAGGTGAATGAGCAATGGAGACTATGGGTTTGGTAAGGATTGTTCCAGAAACCCAAGGTTGTCTGAGAATATGTGATTTGCCCGACGATTTGCTATTGCAGATCTTAATCCTTGTCCCGGGAAAAGATGCGGTGGCCACTGCGATCTTGTCTAAACGATGGCGTTACATCTGGCAGATGCTGCCTAAACTCGCCTTCAAAGACGACCGATACAGCGAGAGCTTTGGGTGGTTTATTGACAAGTCAATGCAACTCCACAAGGCACCGTTACTAATAAGCCTGGTCGTCGAACTGGGTGAACATTGCCCTGCTGACGTAGATGTAAGAAAGTGGGTTGACAAGGCAGTTAACCACAGCGTGAGAACGTTAGATTTCGCTCTCCTCTGGACAGGAGAGCCCACAAGCTTCCCTAAGAGCCTTTACACATGCGGCACGCTCGTCTCTTTATCTCTATCCAACCAGATCCTCGTTGATGTTTCTTTCCCGGCTAGCCTGCCATCTCTCTTATATCTGGATCTTCTCAACGTGGTGTACAAAGACGAAGATTCTCTTGCTAGGCTTTTATCAAGTTCCCCTGTTCTCCGTGAACTGGATGTTCAACGACGTAATGAGGGTGACAACTTGAAAAACTTTACCGTGAAAGTGCCTTCATTGGAATTATTAATTTATGTTAGACGGGGCGGCCAGCAAGAGCAAGAGGAAGATCAGATTGGGTCGTTGGTGATAGATTGCCCTGCATTAACAGATTTTAGCATATATGACGATTTGGGATACTATTGTAGTTTGACAGAGAATATGCTTTGCCTTGATGAGGTATACATCAGCTATGTTCCTAACCCTGATGGAAAGTTTCTGAGGTGTCTATCTTCTGCCAGATGTATCCGCTTGTATTTATCCGAATCAATGGTAACGGTTACATAATCTCCTTTGTTCCTTGTTCCTCAAAGACCTCAACCAATCTTCTTTGTTTGTTTGTTTGTTTTGTTGCAGGTTGCATGTTGTAACGCCATTAATTTCTCTCGGCTCATAGATTTAGTCTTTGTTTCAGAAAATCCAGTATATTGGTTGGAACCTCTTATTTTTATGCTTCAAAACTCTCCTAAACTGAAAATTCTAACGATCGACACCAATGTAAGTGCCCTCATCCCTTCAATATGCACATCTAAGTTTGATGAATTTAAAATATTAAATATAACCCCTTAATGTAATGGTATCAGGGTTCTCCCACATCTTCGTGGAACCAGCCGAGTACTATTCCACAATGCTTATCGTCTCATCTAGAGATTGTTAGGTGGAAAAACTATGAAGGAAGAGAAGATGAGAAACAACTAATGTCATACATTCTCGCTAACTCAAAGTGTCTAAAGACAGTGAAGATCTTCGGCTTTCTTCCATGGTGCAAAAAGGTGTTAGAATCTATGCCTAGGATTTCAGCATCATCTCGGCTTCTTTATTCTTCTACCGATAAAGCCGATTGGACTTTTTAGCTGGGCTAGATTATTTTGTTTTTTGGCGAACGAGGCAAAACAAACACATTGGAGGGATGTTTTAAAAATACATATCTAAAATAATAAAATATTTTACTATCTTGATTATGAATTTATGATCTACTTTTGAAAACAAATAACACAACCTTATTGAAATATATAACAAACAAATAACACAACCTTATAGAACAAATATAAATGTTTAATTAGCCGGCAAAAACTTGTCAATTTGACTTCATTTTTCAATAATAAAACTTATTTCAATTTCAATTTAGTGGCTAAATTTTTTGGCCACTTTCTTTCCAACTCAATAGCCAACCAAAGTTTATGACCTTGACATTCCAATAACAAAGATTTGGGGTTAATATCATTAATAAACATTCTTTAGGGGTGAACATGCAAAGCTTTCAGATATTATTGTCACGTGTCACGTAAATAAACTCCACGTCAACGATATTTTATCGCTTCTTCTGTCTTTCTCAGACACACACAGTGACAAAACCTGGTCACCGGCAAAAAAAAAACACTGTTTCGAGACCGAATTTTCTCATCGGAAAATGTTACGTCAGCTTCCACCTACTATTACGGCGGACGCCACGCCGGATTGGCTTCCCGTCGGTTGGATTGTTCACTCTACAGTTCTAAAACGCGGTCGTCAAACTAAGGTTAACTACTTTAAACACTCTAAATGTTGAGCCTTTTCGTGTGTTCTCTGTTCTTTCTTCTTTCAATTCACACTGATTCTTAGCTTTTTTGATGTGAAAGTTTTGTTATATTCTAGTGTTTTGATCACAATGCAGACATGAGTCTTTAAACACACAATGTGAAAACCCTTCAAATTGTGAAAATTTACTAAAAGATCACCACCAATTTGCGTAAATCGACCACTAATTGAGAAAAAATCCGACCTTTGATTGAAAAAGTATATGAAATTTTCTTCATCAAATTGCAAATTCTTTGACCTCTCATTGTTGATTGAATTGGTTTGGATGCATGTTGATGAAAATTTACACATTGATTTTGTAGACATACACGCAATTGAGAACAGGGAAAAAGTTATCTACAAAGGATCAAGTTCTTGAGTACATTAAAATGGAGAAAATTCGAGAAAAACGAGAAGCAGGAATCCAGAGGAATAAAGCAAGTGTATGATCATGTTCTTCTTGAGTTCTTTGGTCTGTATATATAATGTTTCTTTCTCTTGTTGCAGTTAAAATCCTTACAAGATAGAGAGACCGCAAGCGAAAGGCCGTCGTGGCTTCCGGATGAAAGGAAAGCAGAGTTGGGGATTGGTTCTGTTAGTGGACACCCTTACAAGGTACAACAGACTAATCATTTGTGCATTAGTTTGTTATTGAGAGTGAAAGATTTGTTTTTGTTTTTTGTTAGATGAATGTGAACACATCAAATGATTTTAAAACCAATCCAAAGGAGACAGTGGTATTAGATGATAACTCTATGGAATCTGAAGATTCATCGGGTGAAGAATACGAAACCGGGTGTAATGAAATTGTAAGATGCATGGTTTTATTTGAAAGTTTAGAATCTTGAAAAGTGGTTGTAGTATAGCTGATGGATACATTTTTTTTCTTTTCGTTTTTATGGTTTACAAGACGTATGCAATTGAGGAGGATGAAGAAGATTTTTCGGAGAGGGAATATGTCGAAAATGTGGAGAATTACTCTAATATAACCTCTACTCCTGTAAGTGAATGTTTTCTTAGATTTATTATGTTTCTTCTTGAACATGTATTGATGGGAGTTTTATGTTTTGTTTATCGTAGCTACGGTTACAGCCAGAAAGAATGCAGAAATTGGAGTCTCGAGCAAAAACGCAATGTGTGTTTGAAGGTATGTGGAGAAAAGGAATCAAAGAGTAATAATACAGAGATATTTCTTTGTTAGTGAAGAAGACACATAGTTTTTGTCTGTGCAGATGAGGATATGAGTAGTGACAGTGACAACAAACTTCCAGAAGCTGAGATTTCAAAAGAAGGAAATGGTTTGGGAGAGGCTCGTATTGTATCTAACCTAGTCGAGTCTTTTGATGAGAAAACCTCGCATAGTGTTGTGGTTGAGTGTGATGATAAGGCGAGGGAGATCCCGGGTTTGACTGGGTCATTAACTGTTGAAATCAACCTGGACTGTGAACCTGCAAGTGATAGTTTGGTAGAGAAGAATTGGAAGAAAAGTGGGAGCGAAGGAATAGGAACAAGAAACATTGAGATCATTGACCTAGAGAGTGACGTGATTCACATAAGTGGGGAATCTGGCGATACAAGTAAAGAGCCTCTGAAAGCTCAAGCTGCGCTGGAAGAACCTGATAATGAGTGGGGAAGATCGGTCTTCTTTCCAGACAGAGAAGCCCCGTCACATTCTGTACTTGTCTTTGAAAATTCTAATGCTAGATCATCTGTAGAAGATCTTAGCAACACCATTGAGCTTGGTTTAAACCCGCAAGAAAAGAACATCAGTGGCTCTAAAAAGCGGAAGAAGAATACGGAAACATGTTCATCTACGAACACCAAGAAGAAAGGCATTGAAGCACCAACTAAAAAACTTCAGAAAAGCAAGACACCACCAAGCAAACCGCATGGCAAGAAGGGAAGTTCAAGTGTAGGCATGGACAGAAAACCTGATGATTGGCTTAAACCGTGCCCAAACTTCCCATTTGAGCCACTCACAAGATCATTTCAAGTAGAGGATGACTCGGTAATCCGCATGTACTTAGAGCAACACTTTACAGCTCCAGGGAGTGCTGATAGTAATCTACCTTTACCCGATTTCGGATTGCCAACCTTCTCCAACATCAAAATCTCACTGAATGAAGAACCTGCATCCAAGAAAAAGAAATCTCCTGATCCTCCATGTGTACAAGTTGCAAGTTCAAGCTTACCTAGTTGTAGTTCCATGGGTACTAGTATGCTACAAACAGTTGCAGGACACTAAAGAGACACTGAGACTTGACAAGTTTAAGATGAAATTGGGATTTGTTGGGATGAAAATTCTATAAATTTCTAATTCCATCTGCTAAATGTTGCGAGTCTCACCTAATGGCTTTTTCCGAGCTTTGTTTTATAAGAAGTCCCTTGTTTTAATGTTCAAGTTCAAGTTCTATGTGAAAACTTTTCTATGTGAAAGGGAGTTTTTTTTTTTCCGTTATAAACTTATAACCAACATCCTTCTAGAACAAATTACAAATAAAAAATATATTTCTTATGTTCAGAAAATAACACAAAAAGTTTTCGATAAAGTAAAAAAATTTAAAAATGGATTTACCAAAAATTAATGCAAATTTGAAAAAAACAAATAATATTTGAATCATATTTCACTAATTTTTTTTTATATATGATTTGTAAGAAAATTTAGAGAATATCTATATATTTTTGATAAGTTTATACAGCTATTAATTTATCATATTGTTGGAACCATATATCTACGTAGGATTTTTAAAAAATAAATGTTATCTTATTATTTTATCGAATTATATTAAACATTACATTGATCCGACATAGAAACTGGAGAAATTTATTAATTTATAGTAGTTATTAATTTATCGATTATTAATTTACAAAGGTTTTATACATGCAAATTTCGGAATCTTTGAATTGTCCTAAAAGCATTGAAATCATGACAAATATTTGGTAAAACCACTAGAAAGCTATAGGTAAAACGAGCGAAAAAATGATGTTATCATTTGGTAATGATTTCTCTCTCCGAGTGGTATCAATTCATTGCTTTGCTCATCGGTCACAACTATGATCAGCTGCACTTATTTATTCTCCTGTATGTATTTCAAGCAACACTCTACCATATATGGTGAGAATAAAACAGAAAACGACATAGAGAACCCTACTCTATCTGATCGTCTTATGAAACTTATTGAATTAAAATGTAATATGTTGATTTATAGTGATTATTAATTGTCCTTAATCAAATGATATGGGCAGTACATGTATACGCAAAACTTGGTTACACTTTATTTAAGTTGAAAAAAAACCTATGAGGAAGAATCTAGAAGAGCTATGGAATTTTCTAGAAGAAGAGACATAGTGTTGCAGCGGGATAAATTACGAAAGTAATCTTGAGTATCAATGGATCTCAAGCAGGACAATCGTAGCTCGGAATTCTAATGTTATCGGAGATCAATGGATTCACGATAAACAAAGACTTCAAAGACTTCGTTTGAGAATACTCTTCTCAGTGCTTATCAAAAGCTCTTTAATTTATTAATCAAAAACAACCATCGAATACAAGAAGCCTAAGAAGGCTATTTATAATAAAAGCTCAAAACCCTAAAACATAGAATATTCTAGAATAAAATTAGCTAACTAAATAAAGTATAATAATAAATGATATTTGGAATATTTCCAAATATCTTGCTACATCACATAGTCGATCGGAAGGAGAGAACATGAGGAGGGCAAGATCAATATTACAAAGCTGGGGATTGTTTTCTTTATGTAGAAGATTCTTCATTTTTTTTATATGTCTATGCTCCGATTTGCTAACAATCAATTAAAAAAATTTCATGTTGAACAGAAAATTAGTTAATAGTAGTAATAGTTAGTGAAGAAAAGATAATGTATACATTAAGAGAAAGCAAAAATATATACCAAATGTGTTATTTATATGATCTTATATTTTTGGGTATATTATAATTTTTTACTAACCATGTTTGATGGCATATTTGTAAATGTTGTAATGCTGTAATTTAGGATATATTACATACTTTTATATCACAAAAGTTTTTTTAAAAACATAACAAACTCAAAACAGAAAAAAACCAAAATTAGATTAACTAGTATTTTTTTGTTGTTGTTTATAAATTGTCTCACGACTTTTGTTGACCAAGTGGATAAGTTTTTTTTTCATCCCATCTAGAACCTAGAACCATAAATACGAATAAAGGCTACAAAAAAAGGCTATATGAACACTGCTCAAAATATGTGCACATTAATGTTTTGTATGCTTAGTGATGAAGTGGATCTTAATATTTCAAAAAATAGCAGTATCTATTTTGGAAGTGAAAATAGATGTGGGTTAGAGTAGATTTTATTCTACAATAGAGTTTAGAGGCAAAAATAGAGACGGGTTGGAGATTCTCTATGGTGTTATGCTTTCAAATTGTCGTAGCTGAATTTCAATACGGGAAGAATGACGTCTTCCATGCCTGAAAACTCTGCAACATAGGTGGTCAAAACATCAAGGGCATGTTTCCAACTCTTGTACAGTTTCTTTGGAAGCCATGGTCTCACCAATTACGTTGAGTGCTAGAGGGAGACCACAACACCTCTCAGCAACCTGTTATACGAGATTGAGAATATGTGCATAACTTTGAAGAGTTCGTTCTCCGACTTTCTTTCGGGATAACTCAAAAGCCTTGTCCGGTGCCAAGCATTGGACATGGATAGGGTCTCGCACTCCCATACGGACACAAACATACAAGGAGCGAGTGGTGAAGGCTATCTTGCATTTGTTTTCTGTGGTGGGAACATGGCCTCATATCTCAGCTAGATCGACTTTGGTCTAAATGTTATCTAGAAACAGAATAAATATTCTTGTCCTTAGAAGATTGTAAATCAAGATGGATTTCTCTCTTACCTATCTTGAGAGCCACTAGCTCCTCTCCAAATAATCCTAATTTGGCACTAATGTTGTCTATAATATTATGCAAGTTTGAGCAAAACATAGGTAGAAAATAAAATACGATTCAAGTTGTTTTTACGTCTTATATTTTTTACTTATGTTTTGCTCAAATTTGCATAATATTATAGATAATATTATAAACAATGTAGTTGTTAAGATTTTTTTTTTTCTTAGAAACCAAATTTATACAATAAGATATAACAGAAAAAACCATCTAGTTGTATTAGAACTTTGAAGATAATAAATAAAAATAGAGGGATCCTAATCTAGTGCAGATATAAATAATTTCGGTGTATGTTTTATGAGTAAAGAAAATTGCTAAAAAAAAGGAGAAAATATTTACAATGGTTTCTTAAACCCACGAGGATACATCATACACGTCCAATGACTACATTACCCACCTTATCGTTTCTTTTTGGGATTTGTGCTTTTGACTGGTATGAAACTTCAGTTAGCTTGGTTAGTCAGACTTTTAAACTTTTGTGTTGTGCGTTTCTATTTTTCTATCAGAGACGGTAGAAATTGAAACCTTCAGTGATTCAAAGTTGTTTTCAGTTTCTGTGTTCTTTCTTTTTTTTTTTTTTTTTTTTGTCGGCCAAACTTCATTATAAGAAAGCCCAAATAGGAATATTACAAACATGATACAAGCCTCTTTTAAGCCCATATTAAATGAACCCACTAACATTAAAGACACGTAACCATAAAACGTGTATGGTTAGGAAAATATGCGGGCCCACTTCTCTTATCATCTCGATTCTTCTTGCCGACTAAAGAATTGGATCTGACTTGATTCTTCTCGCCGGCGATTAGTAGATGGAGACTTGGAATCATGCTTCAGGGACCTTCTTTCTACAATCATAGCCGCTTCAAATGTTGAATTAACCTTATGACTTCGAACTCAATCCCACCTCCAAGAAGAAGCTCCGCCTATGACCTAACGAAGAGATCTTCAATCCTTCACTTTGAGGATATAGCGACGAAGATATTACTCTATCATTGAAGAAGCATCAAGTCGATGGCTAATTCTAACAGAAGCAAACGGGATTCGAGAGTAAAAACTGTAGAAAGAGAGGAGAAAAAAGCGAAAAAACATATCTTAGCCGACAAACTAAACTAGATAAACAGAAATAAAGATCGACTAAGAAAAAGAGAATCCGAACTAAGTCGGAAAAGCATTTAATACAAAAAGATATAATATTTCCGGTTAACCGGAAATCGCCACTCTCTCACTGAAAGACGAAGGATGTGGTAAGAGAGAGAGTCAGTCTCAGTTTCTGTGTTCTACACGACCACTCTTGTTTGTCACAGAAACTTCTATTTTTAAAATTTTCGATGTGCTTCACAGATTCTGTCTTTATTCCCTGCGACAACTCGATTGTGCACTTTTTTTTTTTGAATGAACCAAAAGCAGAACCATAAATATTCATGTGCATGTGGAATTACAAAACAATTTTTGGTCAATCTAAACACCAAGAAGATCTCAGAATCACAGCCCTGCAGAAACAAAGACAGATGATTCATAATCACAAACCATTGATCATTTCTTGTTTTGGCACAGATTGAGTGAACATTTTCTTGAGTCTACAAAACTCTAAAGGAGAAGCAAACACTACAAGAAAACAGTCGTTTTGCGAGGCAACTTTGCGAGGGAAACCATCCCTCGCAAATTTGCGAGGGAATTGCAAGTAATTTGCTACGAAAAGGACGCGCGTCGCACTTCCGTCGCAAATTTTGCGAGGGAAAGTTTCCTCGCAAAATTGCGAGGGACGTACGAGTACTTTGCGAGGAACAATATACTCTGTCGCAAATCTCCCGCACATACCTCGCAAATCTTTACCCTAAACCCTAAAATACATAAAAGTGTTTTGCGATCTTTGATTTTTATTTATAAATATGAATCTAAGAGACCATATAATTAGACAAGTTGAATATATAGTGATGCATAAAAAAATATTGTATAGGTTTCAATATTAACATTTTATTTTGAAAATGTTATAAACATTGATTCATATTAACATAAGATCATCATTGATGTATTTGAGGAAAATGCACATTCGGACGAATTCGAAGTATATGATAAGAAAGTAGATTCTAATGTAGATAATTAACTTCCTAATGATTCAAAAAAATGAATCCGAATGATTTTTAGTAGTGTTTTGTTGTTTTTTTTTCAAATTGATTCTATTTTGCGAGGGTTTTGCGAGGGATACTAGTAATTCCCTCGCAAAACTAAACCCTAAATCAAGAGTTTTGCGAGGGAATTGCGAGGGACCATAGCAATTCCCTCGCAAAAGTGGACACCACTTATGAATCCCTAAATCCTATACCCTAAACCATTTGCGAGGGATTTGCTATGATGTCTCGCAATTCTCTCGCAAATATTTTCAGTTTTTTCGCGGTTCAATTTTTTGGCGGAAATTTTAAAATTTTTGGCAAATATTTCAATAATTTTGCGAGGGATTTGCTAGGTATCCCTCGCAACTCCCTTGCAAATTGTTTTCAGTTTTTCGCGCTTCAACGTTTTGGCGGAAATTTTAAAAATTTTAGCGAAAATTTTCAAAACTTTTGCGAGGGATTTGCTAGGGAATTAAGACGGTATAAATATATATATAAGTGATTGCATGTTTGAGCTATGCTCAAACATCTCTCATTTCCTCTTACTTAAAAACTCTTCTCTCACTCATTCACATCTCATTTCCTCTTACTTAAAAAGTCTTCATTCCTCATTCACATCTCTTCAAAGGTATGTTTTTTAATTTCATTGTTAGATTTATGTATAGATTTGTATTATTATAGTTTTAGATTTAGGAGTTTGCTAGTTTTAAAATTAGAAAATTAGGATTTCTAGATTTAGATTATTGTGAAAGGTATTGGATTTGTTAGTTTTGGATTTAGAAATTTAGTTTTATATTAGGATTGGAATTTTAAATTATTTTAGGTTTCATTTAGAAATTGAATTGTTAATTTTTAGAATTTTTTGAGTATGAAATTTTAGATTATATATTAATAACTAATTTTCAAATTTAAATTGTTATTATTTTTAAAGATAAAGTCGATTTGCGAGGGATTAGCTACATATTCGTCCCTAGCAAATCGATTGTTTTCTTGTAGTGAAACTTCAGGTAGCGGTGTACTGATGATCTCTAAAGCAAAGTATATCGAGCAAAGTGAATAGCGGGCACTGGCTATAGTGTTGTACTGAATAATGTCAAATGCATTCCAAAGTTGTCAGGAAATCTTCTTAGGATATCAACCTTGAGTAAGGGGATATAATGTGTGGTTACCGGTAGAAAGAAATGTTTCTTTCAATGAGGACCTGAAAAATGAAAGTTCAAACACAAGTACAAGCTCAAAGACTGAAGAGAATAATTATCAAGAGTTCACTGAATATAACTTCGAACCTCAATGTGAACTACGTCAAGGTGGAGTTACTGACACGTGTGACTCAGAAAAACAAGCTCATGTTAATTCAGATACTGAAACAACTGATTGAATCCAGTGGATTCTACAGGCTAGCTAGAGATAGAGAAAGAAGGGATCGGAAATGAATAGTTTGCACTATACCAAAAGTGCAAAAGTGACCTAATACTCTGTAACTCTCCTCGTGTAAGCTAGCAAAACCACTCAGAACATTAAAAATACATAATCACTTGAGAAACCTTATGAAGTAATCATTTCTCCTCCTGAAGCCAAAAAAAGATCTAATGATAGAATATTACATTACCTGTAGAGACAAGACTCCACCTGAAACAAGACCTTTTCAACCTTGACTTGATTTCTTCAAACTTAGCTTCACTCATTGAGGTACTATATACTTTGCAATCACTTTGATTCACACACAGGCTATGTAATAGAATGATTGACTGCTGCTTCTTACTTGAAAAAAAATAAGACCATGGACATGTATTTCTCACCATTTTGCAGCCACTTAAGCCGATTTTGTTCCACCAAATTGATCAGGCTTTTGATGCCTGCGTCAGCACGACTTTTGATTACCATAAACTGCTACAGTCTGAGACTACTCGCCTGATTAAGAAGGCATATCCAACAAGTTCTTTTCGTAAAATTGACCATCACATAACATATCTCATTTCAACAGTAACATAAATAAACACTACAAATAAAAAAATGGCATCAGAATCGAAATCGATCAAGCAAGAAGCAAAATGGCATTGAATCTTCCATTCTTTCATTTATCCTCCAACTGATGATCCTGCAAAGCAAACACACTAAGCTAATCAGAGAGGGTTAATCTGGACTCTCTATCTTATATATATATATGCACACATTCTTCTCCAAAACCCAGAAGGAAAATAAACAAACTGGACAAAAATGTGTCGAGGACATACCACGCTCTGCTGCAAATCCACCAACAGTGCCACTGCTTTTTGTAATTCCTTCTTGCTCAATAAGCCGGCCAGCATACTGTGGAAAGTGATGTTATTTGGAGCCACACCACTAGAAATCATCTCATTTAGAAGGTTTTGAGCGGCATTAAGATCACCCATTTGACAAAACCCATGAATCAAAGTAGTGTAAGTAACTGTAGTAGCAACTATTCCTCTTCGATGCATCTCGCAGAAAATCTCCATTCCATTGTCAACCCTTTTAGCCTTACAATAGCCATTGATGAGGGTGGTAAAATTGACTACATTTGGAGAGCAGCCCTTGCTAGCCATCGAATCTAACATGCGCTTTGCGTCATCTAGACGATCCTGCTTGCAAAATCCCTCGATCATCGAATTATATGTGATTGTATTAGGAAATATACCTCTACGAAGCATCTCACCATATAATTCTTCAGCCTCAAAGAACTTCCCTTGCTTGACAAATGCATTGATCAATGCATTGAAAGTTACAACATTAGGATATATTTGCCTTTCAATCATATCACGCAACAATTGCTTGGCATCACTCCATCTACCAGAACTACAACAAGCGTCTATCATACAGTTGTAGGTATGAACATTGGGAAATATTCCTTTGTCATGCATTTCAGTGAAAAGATTTTGAGCATCGATATGATGCCCGTCTTTGCAAAGACGATCAATGATGGCACTATAGATGACAACATCAGCTTTGATGTGGTTTTCTTCCATCTTCCTAAGCAGATTCAAGGCCGAGTCAGTGTCACCCATCTTACACATTCCATTGACAATTGTTCCGTAAGTAACTACGTCAGGTTGATGACCATTTTCAACCATCCGATCAACAAGAGCTAGTGCTTGGAGAACTCGACCCTCACGGCAAAGACCGTTCATCAGTGTGGTAAACGTTACGACATCGGGTGGAAATCCAGTTTCAACCATTTGATCAAATAAAGCCACTGCTTCAGAGATCCTATCTTCGAGACATAACCTGTGGAGCAGCGTGCTAAACGAAACAACATTGGGCTGGAAACCAAGTTTGGTGATCTTGCCAAATGTAGATAAAGCAAAAGACAACATATGGCAGTCGCAGAAACACTTAATCAGAATAGTGAAGCTGTAGATATTAAGTGGAATCAATCGCAATTCCATCATCTTATGGAGGGAAATCACAACATCGGGACGATTCATTCTGACGAAGACACCCATTAATTTACAGAAATCAATCACCGAATACAAGGGACGAGATCTAACCATTTCATCGAACAAATCGATCGCATCATCTAAGCTTTTGATATAATGAAACCCACTTTGCAGTTTCAAACTCTCTCCTTCAAAAGTTCCTTTGCGACCACTGCAATGTACTGGCAAAGAAGGTAGACGCTTTCTAATTGTACCTTTCTCGGCCACGCGATGATGAATCAATCTCGTGCTGATCAATCTAGCAGCAGCATTAGCAGAAGAAGATTCCGATCTACAAACCCTAGCCAACATTTTACTTTCGATTGATTTTGTTCTTTCTCGATCTACAAACCTAACTCTGACAATGGAGCTAACGAGAGTAAGTGAGCACCACAAAACGACGACCGGTTTAATTGGATTGGCACAATGACCGGTTAAATTCAATTGAATTGATTCGTTGACCGGTTCAGATAGACATTCTATTTCCCCATTCAGTAAACAACCACAGAGAAACATTACCAAAACAAGTTCTTGAAAAGAAGAATCAAAAATCTCAGGAGTTTTTGAAATCATTAGAAACAATCTGAACACAAGAATAATAATAAGTAACTCTTTGAACAAAAATACCATTTCAAATGGAAACTCAACATTTTGTTCTCCAGACTCAAATCAAACAATAACACAATGGTTTCTTCTCTTAGTATGATGCTTCAGAGTTTTTCCAGCCTCCATAGGACTCTTCGTCGATACCCCTGCTTCGGTTTTCCTAACAAAACGCCACCAGAATAACACATTGTTCTTCAAATTCTACTTAAAACATTTAAAACCAAATCAAGAAACAATGCAAGATGTTTTATACCGAGGGCTTGAAGGAGAGCGCGATCCAAATCTCGCCTTTGTACTCTTCATCTTTCACCACATTGTATGCAGTTGGTGGAATACTTCCTTCCACGAAAACCGGCTCCAATGGAATACTGCATTGTTTCATAACATATCTCCTCGATTAGGTTCTAAATCTATCAATTGGGAATCTAAAAAGATATTGTTTGAGGAACTTACGTTGCTTCACCAACCGCATCATCCTCAGTGCCGACATCTTTGTCGAAGATTTTCGCTTTTAACTCTGTAGTTCCTTCAGAGACAGTGAAGATAAATGTCTCATTCCATTCAGGAGTAGTGCCCATCCCTGCAAGAATTCATGATTCTTCTTCTCAACTCTAGAAAAGCACAAAGACCGATCTTTTTCTTGCACAAGCAAAAGAACCAAAATAAAAACCATTGATCTTGATTGAAAAATTACCTTCTGCAACACTGCTCTTCTGATCTTGAGTCCGACAAGTGAGTTGCACATAAGGATCCATGTTATCTATATATAAACCGCGCAATAAGTCAACGAATATGCAAATCGATTTTACATATTCACAAGGCTAATGTTACAATAAAACAAGCGTATATCTTTTGATGTTAATCAAGAAACAGATTTACATGTCCATAACCAAAAATTAGACTAGATCATTATAATAAAATAGGATTAGAAGAAGATCAAGACGAATTTGAATCTATGATCAAACTTTCACAAATATTTTAAGATCTCCACTAATATCAGATATGAATCAAAATCCGATTCATAAATTGAATTCACATATTTTACAAACAGAAAATTCTGATCGTTCTAGTCAACAACATCAGATAGGCACCAAAATTGTGAATCTTTGATCCAAAAGTCATATACATTCACAGATTCAACACATTTTGGACAATACCCATCAACAAAAATCAAAAGGGTTCTAAGGATTTCTGAAAAAAAAATAGATTTTTAAGGGAAAAAAGAAGAAAAAGCTTACTCAGAAAATCTGCGTCCTCGAGACCTTTGGCGCTGACGAGAACAACTTCAAGAGTTCCATGAGGCATTTTCTTTTTTGATCTTTTTGTTATTTCTCAGAGAAATGTGAAGATTCAGATCCTAAGAGAGAGATGAGAGGCTTTTGTCTGATTTGTTCGATCGTTTTGAGCACGACAATATGAATAGAATGGGAATTTAGGACATCGCTGTAGCGCGTGTGCGCGTGTAACTAACGCTCTGTGCCAGCTTTTCGCCTTTTATTTTCCTTAATTAGAGTAATGACCAATTAGAAATAGTTGTTCTTCTTTGAAAAATAGTTAGGTGATTAATACGTTCAAAATTTGGGTCAAACTTTATGACATTGTTACAGTCTTACAAATGTTAATTATCTATTGAGTAGGTGACAGTAAGGAATTATAATTTTCTTTCCTCATGTGAAATTACAAATTAATCTATTAATAAATTTGATTTATTATTATTGTTATTATTTTTTAAATTAGGTTTATTAAAACTATAAAAAATGATTTATTAAGATTTTTTCCCTCTACTAGCACTATTTATATGTTTTTTATGAGTAATACTGTATATGACTTTGATATGTCAATCCCAATCTAATATTTATGACAGAATCTCTTAAATAGGCCGTTACGTATATTTTCATATATTGCAATAAAAAGTAATAAATGTTACAAAAAACTTTACAAGTTGTTCAATTAATTTTTTATTTTTTTCATTTTAACTTTCATAAATTTAGATTGATTTTATATAATAAGAATAAATAGAAGAAAAGTAAAATTAATTTTATGCTGAGCAATAAAGTATGTGTAAATGTATATGCTAGAAGGCAAAAAAAAAAAAAAAAGTCTAAAGTGATTAGGTTTTAAATATCTTTTCTTTTCACTACTTTTCTCAATAACAATATTAATGAACCTTACACTTTCCATCTTCTTCATATACATATTTTTTTTTTGCCAGCCATCTATTAGAGTAGTAGATATATATGAAAATATTCCATATCTTCTTGTGTATATCTTTAGAGAATATCTTCTAGAATTCTCTAGAATATCTCCTTTGTAACCTATAAATATAGGACTCCTTATTCATGAATGATATACAATTTTACTAAACCTACATGGTATCAGAGCTATCGATCTAAACAAAAAAAAAAAAAAAACCCTAAATTTTTTTTTTTTCTTCTTCTTCATCACGCCGCTGCCGCCAAGACCTAGTGTCTTCATCATACCGGCCGTTCTTCTTCTCCGATCATCATGAGTGAAGAAGTCTCCTCAACGTCATCAACGTCCCATAGAGTACCTATCTTTGATATTGATAGTACTTCCCCGACTCTTATCTCCATCAACATGTCAAACATCACAAAATTGACATCAATCAACTATCTCACATGGCGTCTCCAAATCAAAGCCCTCTTAGATGGTCATGAGCTGCAGGGTTTCATCAGTGAAACCGATCAGACTCCACCCTCTCACATCACCACAGGGACTGTCACAATTGCGAACCCCAAGTTTACTTGCTGGACAAGGCAGGATCGTCTTCTCTACAGTGCTATCATCGGCACGCTCTCTCTTCAAGTACAGCCGTTGGTGGCTCGTACTACTACCACGCGTGAGATCTGGGCTACCCTTGCCAAGACCTTTGGCAATCCATCCCGTGGCCACATCAACCAACTTCGAGAACAACTCAAAGGTGTTTCTAAAGGGAACCAGTCCGTACAAGACTACATGAAGAACATTGTCACCAAAGCCGATCAGTTAGCGCTTCTTGGTTCACCTATACCACACGAAGACTTACTAGACCATATCACGAGAGGTCTAGATGAAGACTATCGCCCGGTCGTGGAACTCGTCAATGGCAGAGACACACCAATTTCTATTGAGGAGTTACATGAGAAACTTCTCAACAGAGAAAATCATCTTCTCTATGCAGCTGCAACAACAACGACACCACCGGCGTCTGCAAACGTGGCACAACAAAAGTTCAACAACAACAACAACAACTACTCTAAGCCACCACAGAACCAATACAACAACAACAACTATGGTAGAGGAAGAGGTGCTGGACGTGGCTCACAAGGTCGGGGATACCAAGGAAAGTGTCAAATTTGTGGCATCCATGGTCACAGTGCTCGCACCTGTCGACAACTCAACTCGCCACAATGGTCTCAACCATCGTCGTACTATCCGTCTCCGCCATCACAAAATACGTGGACTCCGTCACCACCGATGCCACCTCAACATTGGCAACCAAGAGCTCACTATACCGCTTCCACCAACTACTCCCAAGCCCCCTGGCTTTTAGATAGTGGAGCGACACACCACATTGCCACCGACATGAGTAATATGTCCATCACGGGATCGTACAATGGAGGTGACGAAGTAATTGTTGGTAATGGAGCAGGCTTACCAATCACCACTACGGGTTCTACTACTTTTCCTACAACTACAAAGAATTTATTACTTGACAATATTCTTTGTGTACCAAATATGAAAAAAAATCTTATTTCGGTGAATAAGCTATGTCGGTCTAATGGTGTTATGGTTCAAATGTGTCCTAATGATTTTCAGGTGAAGGATCTCAACACGGGGGCAACAATAATCAAAGGCAGAGCTAATGCAGGGTTGTATGAGTGGCCAACGATTTCTTCTGAATCTTCTTCTGCTTCAGCTTTTTCAATTTCAAAAACTTCTAATTCCGCTTGGCATGCCCGTCTTGGACATCCAGCAAATTCTGTTATTCAGTTGATTTCTACTCGTTCTAGGATTCCTATGTCTTTCAAAACAATTTGCAATGCTTGTTCTATTAATAAGAGTCATAAACTACCGTTTTCTCAATCATCTCTCAAGTCTCATTCTCCACTTGATATTGTTTTCTCTGACGTCTGGACTTCACCAATTTATTCGATTGATGGATATAAATATTATGTTATCTTTGTTGATCACTATACAAGATATACATGGCTTTACCCAATCAAACAAAAATCTCACGTTGCTACCATTTTTCCTATCTTCAGGGCATTGGTTGAGAATCGGTTCAAGACAAAGATCACCACGTTATACTCGGATAATGGTGGAGAATATATTGGCCTGCGGTCCTATCTTGCCAGTCATGGAATCTCTCATCTCACGTCACCACCACATACACCGGAACACAATGGCATTGCGGAGAGAAAACATAGACATGTTGTGGAGACGGGCTTATCGTTGCTATCTCACGCCAAATTACCACTTGAGTACTGGTCCTATTCGTTTGCTGCGGCGGTATTTCTTATCAACAGAATGCCTACACCGATTCTCTCCAATGTCTCACCATATGAAGCTCTATTTCATTCCGAACCAAACTACACAAGACTTCGTGTATTTGGTTGTCTTTGTTATCCATGGCTTCGCCCCTACTCACAACACAAGCTTTCTCCTCGTTCAGTTCCATGTATTTTTCTTGGATATTCTCTAACACAAAGTGCTTACATTTGTTATGATCTTTCATCGTCAAAAATTTTTGTGTCTCGACATGTAGAATTTTTTGAAGATGAATTTCCCTTTCCAAATTTCATAACTTTGTCTAACACTTCCCATGAGTCTTCTTCTTCTGTTTCTCATCCTGTATCTACAGCTCGGGTCTATCGTGAGCCACTCATCACCAGCTCAGCCCCTAGTTTGGATCCTTCACCAACGTTACCACCTTCCGAGACGACACATGACACCAATTCACCGGCTACTACGTCCGATCAAGAAACTGAGCAAGTAGAAAATCATGTTGTGGAAAACAACAATGTTGTTGAAGAACCGGATCCTCTCCCAGTTGTTCCGGCCAATGTTCATCCAATGGTGACAAGAGCCAAGAACAACATTCGGAAACCAAACCAAAAATATGTGAATAATGTCACACTTGCGGAGATAGAACCGACTTCTCATGTTCAGGCCATGAAAGATGAAAGATGGAGAAATGCTATGGGAGCTGAATTTGACTCTATTGTTCGCAATGGTACATTCACACTCGTAGACCCACGTCATGCATCCAATGTTGTTGGAAATCGATGGATCTTTGTTATCAAGAGGAAACCAGACGGTACAGTTGATAGATTCAAGGCGCGACTTGTTGCGAAAGGCTTTCATCAACGACCAGGCATAGAATTCCAGGAAACATTCAGTCCGGTCATCAAACATGTGACAATACGTGTAGTTATTGGACTAGCAGCTCGGAAAAATTGGGTTTTACGACAACTCGACGTGAACAATGCATTCTTACAAGGGAATCTTAACGAAGAAGTATATATGAGTCAACCACCGGGTTTTATTGACAAAGACCGTCCACACTTTGTATGTCGTTTACACAAAGCGATATATGGATTAAAGCAGGCTCCGAGAGCATGGTATAATGCGTTGAGAGATTTTCTTCTAAGCAATGGCTTTGTTAATTCATTGGCGGATGCGTCGGTTTTCATTTTTCACAAGGGAGAAGTTCTCATATACATGCTAGTGTATGTTGATGATATTGTTCTTACGGGTAATAGTGCTAAAGCAATTGATGGCTTTATACAAGCTCTCTCCCATAGATTCTCGCTCAAGGACATGGGTGAGCTCTCATACTTTCTCGGTCTTGAAGTCACACGCACGTCTGCCGGCATACGTTTGAATCAACGGAAGTACACGACTGATATTCTCACCAAGTATAACATGCTTTATGCTAAACCAGTGCCTACTCCGATGACGTCTGCGACGAGTCTCACAAGTTCTGATGGGGTTAGTTTATCGGATCCGACCGAGTATCGTGCTGCAGTTGGGAGCTTACAATATCTTGCACTCACGAGACCTGACATTGGCTTTGCGGTTAATAGGCTATCTCAATTTATGCATAAACCTACAACAGTTCATTGGGACGCTGTCAAACGTGTGTTGCGGTACCTTGCTGGTACAGTAGATCATGGTCTATGGTTTTCTTCTCGTGCTTCCTTGGATCTTAAGGCTTATTCTGATGCAGATTGGGGCGGTGATAAAGATAACTATTCTTCCACGGGCGCATACGTTGTCTATCTAGGATCACATCCCATTTCTTGGTCTTCTAAGAAACAAAAAGGTGTCTCTCGATCATCAACCGAAGCGGAGTATAGGGCTGTTACGGAGGCTGCCTCTGAAGTCAAGTGGATTGTCTCGCTCTTATCTGAACTTCGAGTTAAACTCCCGACTACTCCGATAGTTTTTTGTGACAACATTGGTGCTACGTACTTGTGCGCTAATCCCGTGTTTCACTCTCGGATGAAACATCTTGCATTGGATTACCATTTTGTTCGAGAACTCATTCAAGCTGGAGTCATACGAGTAGTTCATGTTAACTCTATTGATCAACTAGCCGACGGTCTCACTAAACCACTTCCGCGGGCTCGATTTCTAGACCTTCGGGTCAAGATTGGAGTAACCAATGGTTCTCCATCTTGAGGGGGCATATTAGAGTAGTAGATATATATGAAAATATTCCATATCTTCTTGTGTATATCTTTAGAGAATATCTTCTAGAATTCTCTAGAATATCTCCTTTGTAACCTATAAATATAGGACTCCTTATTCATGAATGATATACAATTTTACTAAACCTACACCATCTCCTTAATAATAATTAAATAAATAATACGATTGTACTCTTTGGTTCTTTGGGACAAACAAGCAAGCTTATGAAAATGATTACTGTAAAGTAAATTGGGAACATAAACATAGCACTAATCTTCTAATGAAATATTCATCGATATTAAAACCAAGAGATTGGCTCAATCACACACACACAAGGGAAAAAAATAAGTAAATTGACTCATTGGCGATGATATGAAATTAATAACCTAATTTCTTATTGGCGTAATAAGAATTGACAACACAATAAAGTCATTGATATCAAGTTAACGATATCAAAGTAGTTCTTGTACTTGAACCAAACATCACCAAAACCATACCTTGAAATCAATCTGCAAAAAAAAAAAAAAAAAAGAAGTAAGAGAACATCATTTGATACATAAATGAATCTAAAAATCAAACATTTAACCCAAAAGTAACGGAAAAAAAAAATCCATGAAACAAAACAGAGACGTTAGAATTGTAAACAAAACTCTGTTCACAATAAACAGCTAACTAATTTTATCTTTTGTCTCTTCACATTTCTTGTGGGATCTTTATCACTTTTGATTACTAACATAAGTTGAATAGAATTCTATAGTTCTACTAAACAACAGACCTAATTACGTTCCAAAAACAAAAGTATTGTCCCATATAGATTTCTTGCCTAAAAAGCAATCGGTCTAAAAAAAGCTTTGCGCTAAAGAGTAGAACAATTCATGAATTCAGATAAATAAATAGTACCTTAATGTTCACTGATTAGTAATGGCCTTGATCATCAACATGTCTCTTGAAATAAGCAGCAAGCTTATCAAGATCTCCAAACATTCTTTTCCGGAACTTGAATCCCTTTGGATATAAACCGATATACTCATGGTGCGGATTTGCGGATCGTATGTAAGACAATATAAAGCTCCCTGGATGTTCATGCGAAACACCAAAACTGTAAACTACCATTTTCGGATTTACGCCCTTCTCAACCCGAAGAAGATCATCTATTTCCGACTTTGTCCCAGTCCGAAATTTGCGGTAATTGAGCATTGTCATAAGATGAGTTACCAAAGGATCAACATACCGATCCATTACCTGAAATTTTTTATAACGAGTAAGTATTTTCACTTGTATATCAAAACTGAAATTTATAAGAATATAGACGAACCTCATCCAGATCCTCGAAGGTTTCATTCCCAATTTTCAATGTTTTCCCAATACGTTGTAAGCTCACTATGTCCTTGCTCTCCTTCCCACCTTCGATTATCTCCTTGTTAGCATACAAATTATCGAAAATCTTGATCATCAAAGTCAGATGATTCAGTCCTCGTGAGCTTGGACGAACAATGCTTTCTCCAATATTCTTATCAGACAAATAATCTGTTGCTTGCTCAGCATTGATGTTCTGAAACAGAGGATGAACAATCATCCTAGACTTAAACTGCTTCTTTTCTTTAGGAGCTTTCTCTTTCTCTATCCGAACACTGTTTCGTTCCTCCTCGTGGTAGTAATAATCGAGATTCCTGTTCTTTCCCATTTCGCTTTCTTTGCAGACAAGTAACACATGATACCTTTGCTTTAGAATCGATTTGACCTTGCAAGTGACGATATCGCCTTCACACAGTTTGTTAGATAAATCAACGATATCTCTACCATCATCCGAGTAATCTTCCTTCAAGAGAATCCCAGGTAATCCACAATCTAATACACATTTGGCTTTACCACTTGTTACTTTCTTAACAGTGGCCTGCACAATTCTCCCTTCACCAATCGTTTCTTTGGTTTCACCCGAAATCATATAAAACTCTTCATCTGGATCAACCTCTTTAAACAAACTTCGCCAATCCTGAAAACCACAGCTTAATTCTCTCATGATAAGACTATAAGTTTCCTTCTTATTCTCTTGGTTCTTGCTTCTCAAATACTCATCAAGAACGATTTTCTTCAAAGAAGCTGGCTCATCTCTCACATACTCTATCGCCATCTCTATTGCATCATCCTCATCATCTCTAACAATATCATGAGTATAAACATCTTTCGCCAATTCTTGCGCAAGACCGTATGATTCAGGATGTATTCTAGTGTCATCCAACAGATCAATTAATTGGCTGCTACTACAAGCCAACCCGCTCCTACGAATCCGCAAGAAACCAGCTGCATTTACGAAAACTTTTTTACCAATCCCATGATTTATCAGTTCCTTGCGGACAAATATCGAACCAGCTCTAACAAGAGACCTCTGCAAAGATGCAGCTTTCCTAGGACCAAGCCCTGAAACAAACTGTAAAGGAGCAAAAAGCCATTAATGGCTCGCAGCCAGATTAATGTCGATTCCAACTTGATTTGTTATGTCAACCATAACTTGTTCAACCATCTCATACTTCTCATCTGGATCAAGAAAATCCTGCAAAGAATGTAGCTTCCAAGACAAAATATCTTTACCTAGACCGCATAAGGTTGAGATCATTGCTAATGGATTCTGGAGATAACGTCCAAGAGCAACTGCGCGTTTCACAATCCCTGCCTGTTGAGGTAGTTGTTCTCTTGAGATTCTAGAATTTTCGTATATCCTAGGAAGAGATTCATCCGCATAAACCACTGGTAAGTCATAAATCCCAGCTTCTACAACAGACGGCAGTTCTTCCACCATTTGGAATATAACCTCATAAATCTCATCCTTCAGACGTACACAACTCAAATTTGCAGCTGCTAAAGCCACAACATTTGGTTGATGGTCTCTTATAAACTTTCGAAGACGATCTTGATCCTTCTTTTTACGTTTCTGGTCATTTACATCCCGAAATCGCAATGCAATGGATTCTGCGTAAAGCACATCAACCAACTCTCCCGATGAATCAAGCATCACAAATGTAGTTTCTGGATTTCCAGGTCCCCAACAACAAGCTAGGACCCTCGGCGCAGCTTCCTCATCCGAGGTATTATTATTATTCCTTCGATATGGCCCTGAAGAAACTTTGTTCCATAAAACCTGTCCATACTCTGAAAGCAACCGAGTCTTGGCTCTGCTAATTAGCAAGGATCTTGCTTCTTTCTCCATTGACGGCAAAAGAAAACCGTGAACCGCGTCCTCCAGTATCAATTTCCTCTGCTCATTCCAGAGTTGAGCATACTTACTAACACCAACACTTAGATAGTGTTCACTGCATTCACTAATTATCCAATTTATCTGATTCTCAGGCAGCTTGAAAGTTACTTGAAGAAGCTTCTCTTCTTCTGCTTTCTGAATGAGAAGCCATTGTGTACCTTCAAACTTTCTCAATGGCTTTTCGCGTAACCACTTAACCGCAGAAAACTGATGGAAAGAATCTATAACCACATCCCCATCTGGTGTTGGACTCGTTGAGACTACTGCATTCTCCATATAAATCCCGCGAACATACTTTTTAATCAATGGCTCGCAGCTTATCTCAACCGCAGCCACATGCCGTGCGCCTTTAAGAACAACTTGAAGATCTTCAAACATTGCACATTTATAGTACAATGCCATCTCCTCTGGTGTTTTCTTTGCATCTTCAAGCTCATCAACAAAAACTTTCTCAAGAGACAACGCAAATCCCAATTGCTCAGCGCTATAACCAAACTTGTTTGCAAATTCCCGTATCCCAAATTTGCTACAGATGCTATAATGCGATTTCCTTTTCGGCCTCTTATACTGTCCTTCATCGATCTCACAATGAGGAAAATGCAAGTTGAACTTTGAGTCTACATCATCAACTTCTCTCTCTGTCTCCGCCGCTTTAGGAGACTTCATAACCGATTCAAAAAGACTCTTATTCAGATCAGACCTACAGGTTTCTTCTTCAAAACGTTTGGTAAAGTAACCAAACAACGCGGTTTTCCTTTTCCGAAGAAGAAGCCACTCTCTATCCAAATCTTGAATCATCCACAAGACTTTATGCCACTTGGTCTCAAGCTTCTTGAGAAGATTGAAATCACTACCATCATCATCAGAACTGTCCAACAAACTCTGACACTGCTCCTTCCGGTACATAGCTATAAACGGTATCTCTAACTTCTGCACATGAGACATCTCCAAAAATCTCACAATGTCATCTTTGCTAACCGAAAAACCCGGACCTTGTTCTGGAACCAATCGAGCATAAATCCAGTTGCTCTCTTCTTCAATGCTAATATCATCGACGGGAGCGTTTCCAGTGACTTCTTCGAATATCTGCATTCTCTCAGGAACATCAAGCTTCCTAATTTCATCATCTTTTTCTGTCATATACTTTTCAGAGAGAACAATTGGTTCAAACTCATCTTCTAACTTTCTTTCGATCTTTTCGTTATACGCTAAATCCTTTCTCCGAAGTTTCAACAATTCTTCAGGATCACCAAATATATCATTATCGTATCGTAAAGCTTTTGAGTCAGTTCCTTGCTTAAATTTCTTTATCTTCCTCCTCCATCCATGATCACCAGGAACATCTTCATCTACAATGAAGTGACTCAAATCATCATCATCATCCTCATTGATCTTATCTTCTTCCTCTTCCTCTGAAGATTTCTTCAAACGTTTATACTTGTTTCTTTGGAAATCGACGTTGTTATCTTCTAGAAGAAGATAATCATCTTCGTGAAGACTAAAGGCTTCGTCTTTCTTCCTTCGATTTCTACTCTTTTTCTCATTACAATGTCTCTGTTCTTCGTCTTCTTCTTCTTCTTCTCCATCATCAGAACTATCCACTAAAAACCCATCTCCATACTCATACTGATCATCTTCATCATCGTCCTCTTCATCATCGTTGTCTCTATTCTCGACTGGATCGTCGTGAATCTGTGGCTCTGTGTCAAAAACATAGTCGAATCTTCAGAGAAGAAAGAAAAAACAGAGAATTAGGGATTTTACAAGCAGAGCTTTTTATGTACCTTCGTTGATCCTATTCATGATTAGGTTAATATATTTAGCTATATGAAATCGATGAAGGTGGTGATCAACCCTAAAAACTCTGTGATCGTGAAGATAGTAACAATTTGATTCTGATTTTTGCGAGGAGAAACAAAGAAGAAGGCTTTTGTAGTTCTAGGGTTCACAAAAGCATTAAGAGGCTACTAAGAGCATCTCCAATGGATGCATTTTTGGGTTCTCTTTCAAGGTTCTCTTGAAAAAAATGTTGAAAAATAAATCAAAACTCTGAATTTTGAAGAGAGACAGCTCTCTTGAGAGAAATCTTGAGTGGTATGAGAGACGATGACGTGGCGTGTTCTCAGCCGTCGATTTTTTTGGTCAAAAAAAAAAAAAAACGCGTCAAAAAAAGAAGCGTGTGTTTTCATTTTTTTTTCTTCGTGAAGTCTCAACCGCGTCTCCTGCAACCTCTTCTTCTCTCTCTGTTTGGTTTGACCGGAGTTTATGGTGGAAGTACGATCAAGATCACGGCGAACGGAGGTATGCAGATCTCTATCTTCTCCTTTGCTTTTCTGCTCGAATAGATTGGTTAAATTAGGGTTTTATTTGGGGATAACGATCATGTGAAATGTTGCAGAGCAATTGAGAAAGAAGAGATTAATGTTACCACCTCACTTGTAGAATCTCTTCTTGTAGCAATTGCTGGTGATACACGTAGAATGGATGCTTATGGTTTGTGGGATTTGGTTAAGGAGATTGGTGAGAAGGAGAATAGTAGTGTTTTCAACTTGGAGACTCTGATAAGTCCTCTCTGCAAGAACGATGGGACTATCACGTTTGCTCAGGAGATGTTGGGTGATTTATCTGGAGAAGCTAGGCGGCATGGGACAAAACCATCTGATGTTATCTTTTGAGAGTGTCATTTTGAGAGTCAAATGTAACCCAAATTTTTATGTGCATATGCAAAGCATCTTCTTATGTGAATGATTTCTCCATATGTCACACAAACTAGAACAAAACTTAAATTACATCAACCACAAAACCATGACTTCTCTCCATATATTTTTTTTCTCCATCTCACAAAATTTGATCAAGTGTTTTAAGAACCAAAACACAAACCAAAACATATAAATTTGATCAAGTGTTTTAATAAACCAAAACACTTAACCAAAACACATAAATTTTATTTAAACACAAATTTTCAAAACATGATTTAAAAAAAAAAAAAAAAAATTTAAGAACCCCACATGAGATGCTACCATTGGACTGTGAATTTTTTTTTTAAAAAAGCACAAGTTCTCATCTAACAAATCTCCAACATTTATCTTAAACAATTGGAGAGAGCTCATAGGGAGCTCTCACCATTGGAGATGCTCTAATTGCAGTTTTGAAACATTTTTTTTTTTTTTTGTCAACACCTTTTAATTAAAATCAAAAGAACTTTTCGTGCCAAATTATCCGTTTTAACATTTGCACTACGAGGAATTAAAGATAAAGAGAAGGGCTTTCAATAATATTATAAATATTAATAAATATTATTATATTAAAATATATAAAATTCCTAATTCAATAATCTAAAAATATTTGTATTTGAATTTATTTTCGATTTATTAAAAGATTTATTTTCCATATTTATACAATTTTCTATTGATAATTTCTTATCACATTTGTTGACAAAGGGCTTTAATTTAAGCCTAGCCTAGTTATTAAGGCGCTTAACGGTGCCAAAAAGAATGTTATTCTATTACATTAATGATTTTTAATTTAAAGGTTAGGTTATTTTCTTACACATTAGAATAATTAGAGGTTAATTATGTTTACGAAAAATGAGAAAAAAAAATGGAAAAACCAAACGGACTGAAATCACAGAGTATGCCTAGGCAGTTATTATTATTGTGTTCAGATTGCCTATAATGATTCAAAACCGCTTCATATCACATATGTAAACAACATTCCTCAGAAATGGCAAAAAAAAAAAAAAAAGAGATTCAAAACGTTTCATCTGAACCGGTCAAAGAATCCATCCAATTAAATTCAACCGGTCATTGTGCCAATCCAATTAATAATATTAAACTGGTTATTGTACCAATCCAATTAAACCGGTCGTCGTTTTGTGGTACTCACTCACTCTCGTTAGCTCCATTGTCAGAGTTAGGTTTGTAGATCGAGAAAGATCAAAATCAGGCGAAAAGTAAAATGTTGGCTAGGGTTTGTAGATCGGAATCTTCTTCTGCTAATGCTGCTGCTAGATTGATCAGCACGAGATTGATTCATCGTCGCGTCGCCGAGAAAGGTACAATTAGAAAGCGTCTACCTTCTTTGCCAGTTTATTGCAGTGGTCGCAAAGGAACTTTTGAAGGAGAGAGTTTGAAACTGATAAGTGGGTTTCATTATATCAAAAGCTTAGATGATGCGATCGATTTGTTCGATGAAATGGTTAGATCTCGTCCCTTGTATTCGGCAATTGATTTCAATAAACTAATTGGTGTCTTCGTGAAGATGGATCGACCCGATGTTGCGATTTCTCTGTATCAGAAGATGGAATTGCGGAGGATTCCACTTGATATGTACAGCTTCGCTATTCTCATAAAGTGTTTCTGCGACTGCCATAAGTTGTCCTTTGCTTTGTCTACATTCGGGAAGATCACTAAACTTGGTTTCCAGCCCAATGTTGTTACGTTTAGCACGCTGCTCCACGGGCTATGTCTCGAAGATCGGATTTCTGAAGCAGTGGCTTTATTTGATCATATGGTTGAAACTGGATGTCAACCCAATGTCGTTACTTTTACCACACTAATGAACGGTCTTTACCGCAAGGGTCGAGTTCTTGAAGCAGTAGCTCTTGTTGATCGGATGGTAGAAAATGGTCATCAACCTGACGTAGTTACTTACGGAACAATTGTCAATGGAATGTGTAAGATGGGTGACACTGACTCGGCCTTGAATCTGCTTAGGAAGATGGAGGAACGCCACATCAAAGCCAATGTTGTAATCTATAATGCCATCATTGATCAATTTTGCAAGGACGGACGTCATATCGATGCTCAAAATCTTTTCACTGAAATGCATGACAAAGGAATTTTTCCCGATGTTCATACCTACAACTGTATGATAGACGCTTGTTGTAGTTCTGGTAAATGGAGTGATGCCAAGCAATTGTTGCGTGATATGATTGAAAGGCAAATAAATCCTGATGTTGTAACTTTCAGTGCATTGATCAATGCATTTGCCAAAGAAGGGAAGTTCTTTGAGGCTGAAGAATTATATGGTGAGATGCTTCGTAGAGGTATATTTCCTAATACAATCACATATAACTCAATGATCGATGGATTTTGCAAACAGAATCGTCTAGATGATGCAAAGCGTATGTTTGATTCGATAGCTAGCAAGGGCTGCTCTCCGGACGTAGTTACTTGTAATACACTAATTAATGGCTATTGTAAGGCTAAAAGGGTTGACGATGGAATGGAGATTTTCTGCGAGATGCATCGAAGAGGAATAGTTGCTACAACAGTTACTTACAATACTTTGATTCATGGGTTTTGTCAAATAGGTGATCTTAATGCCGCTCAAGACCTTCTCAATGAGATGATTTCTAGTAGTGTGGCTCCAGATTACATCACTTTCCACGGTATGCTGGCCGGCTTATGCAGGAAGAAGGAACTACGAAAGGCAGTTGCAATGTTGGTGGATTTGCAGCAGAGCGTGGTATGTCCTCGACACATTTTTGTCTAGTTTGTTGATTTTCCTTCTGGGTTTTGGAGAAGAATGTGTGCATATATATATATATATCTAGCTTTGGCTACTGAATGTACAAGTCAAATGTAAGATAGAGATTCCTGATTAACCCTCTCTAATTAGCTTAGTGTGGTTGCTTTGCAGGATCATCAGTTGGAGAATGAATGAAAGAATGGAAGATTCAATGCCATTTTGCTTCTTGCTTGATCGATTTCGATTCTGATGTTCCACTTACACTTGTTAATTTTTTTTATTTGTCGTGTTTATTTATGTTACTATTGAATCGAGATATGTTATGTTATGGTCAATTTTACGAAAAGAACGTGTTGGATATACCTTCTTAATCTGGCGAGTAGTCTCAGACTGTAGCAGTTTATGGTCATCAAAAGTCGTGCTGACGCTGGCATCAAAAGCCTGATCAATTTGGTGGAACAAAATCGGCTTAAGTGGCTGCAAAATGGTGAGAAATACATGTCCAAGGTCTTATTTTTTTTTCAAGTAAGAAGCAGCAGTGAATCATTCTATTACATAGTTTGTGTGTGAATCAAAGTGATTGCAAAGGATGTGTTACCTCAATGAGTGAAGCTAAGTTTGAAGAAATCAAGTCAAGGTTGAAAAGGTCTTGTTTCAGGTGGAGTCTTTGTCTCTACAGGTAATGTAATATCCTATCATCAGATCTTTTTTTGGCTTCAGGTGGAGAAATGATTACTTCATAAGGTTTCTCGGGTGATTACATATTGTTAATGTTCTGAGTGGTTTTACAAAGTATTAGGTCACTTTTGCGCTTTTGGTAAAGTGCAAACTATCCATTTCCGATCCCTTCTTTCTCCATCTCTAGCTAGCCTGTAGAATCCACTGGATTCAATCCAGGGTCAGACATCAGTTGTCTCAGTATCTGAATTAACATGAGCTTGTTTTTCTGAGTTACACGTATCAGTAACTCCACCTTGACGTAGCGAAGTTATATTCAGTGAACTCTTGATAATTATTCTCTTCAGTCTTTGAGAGCTTCACCGGACACAACAACGTGACATCGATTCCAACAAATTTCCCTACAGTTTTGGCTCAATATGAATCTGTAACTGCAAAATCAACAAACTACAAAGGTTTATAGCACTGTACACCTACACGTGTTTTTTTTTGCTCTGGTTAATCTGGTTTGTTAAGTTTTGTTGCTGTAAGAAATATATGAGCTGATGGGTGTTCTGTCAGGTACGTGAAAAAAAAAGAGTTCATGTGATCACGTTTAACTGTTGGAAACGAGACAGGTTCATGTCTGTGATGTTTTCAGTGTTTAGCTTAAGATTTGAGATGGGGTTTCGGTCATGGGAACTGGGAATTCTCAAAACGAACATATAGTTGCATGTTTTTATGTAACAGGGAGATCTCGCTGAGCGTAGCAGGAATTATCCATCATTCTCAAATGACTGATTCAAGCTCAGGATACAGCTAGCATCGGCACACTCAAACTGTTGCACTCATATGATAAAAAGTGATGCAGAAACCAAGTAATAGCAGACGGTTTCTGGCTCTTATGACTAAAAGGATGTGAAAGTCTAAGTGGATGGTTGTTGCTGGTTATAGAAAAGCTTAGGCATGTAAGTAAGACTTGGAAGTCTAGCCTGCTCAATATGTCTCAGGACATTGACTTGGAAGTCTGAAGCCTGAAGCAGACAATGTGGTGAAAGATGAAGAGTACAAAGGGGAGATTTGGGTCGCGCTCTCCTTCAAGCCCTCGGTATAAAACATCTTGCATCGTTTCTTGATTTGGTTTTAAAATGTTGAGTAGAATCTGAAGAACAATGTGTTATTCTGGTGGTGTTTGTTAGGAAAACCGAAGCAGGGGTATCGACGAGGAGTCCTATGGAGGCTGGAAAAACTCTGAAGCATCATACTAAGAGAAGAAACCATTGTCTGTTACTATTTGATTTGAGTCTTGGGAACAAAATGTTGAGTTTTCATTTGAAAGAGTATTTTTGTTCAGAGAGTTAAATCATGAAAAATAGTGTCTTGAATTTTCAAACATTTTACTTTTGAAATCACACTCGACAAAATTGCTTTTGGTAAATGTATTTTATTTGTCACAAGTCGTATTATTATAACATCACAAACGTTACAAAAAGATATTACAGTGGGGACTGGAGACATCCACTACATAACTGAGTTGTCTTATTAAAAAGTACAAACTTTAGGGGGTGTTATTGGTTTATGATTTCAAAAGAGTTTTAGTGACTTAAAGAGTCATGTAGAATATGTTGTTATTCAATCAAGATTTTTTAAAAGAATGTTAAAGTTTTGTGTTATTCATTTAAGATTTGTAAAAAGTAATCTAAAATCATCGTAAATTTGGGGTTATTAGATTCATACTCTTATAAAGTCAGTAAAAATTTTGTGTTATTCAATTAAAACAAAAGAATCTCTGACTGTTAATGAATTAAATTATTATGTTATTGGTTCATGACTTTGTACACTTTTCTTCACAAAATAAAGTCATAGAAAGTCATGAAAAGTATTATCAAAATAGAGAGATTGTTTGAGAAACTTTACAAGATTATGAAAAACTAATCAACAAGATTATAAAAAACTCTCTTTCAATAGTTTAGAATCTTTTATTTATTGACTTTGTAGGATTTGATTAAAGTCATCAAAATTCCTTGGAAATTAGATTATCACATGAAGATTGATAATCCCTGTTAAACTTTAACTTAAAAGCAGGCCCGGCCCGCCACACATTTCTAAGAAACAAAGGTATTGGGCCTCCAGAATTTTTAAGCTTTTTAGTATCAAACTTAGGCCTCAAAATTATTAGTTATTGCAAATAATAGGCCTCATTTTTTTGAAATTTTCATATTTAGTCTCAATTTTCCAATTTTATCTATTTGTTATTGCAAAAAGAGGCTTCATTTTCCTAAACTTTTAAGATTTGGTCTCAAGTTTTAGTTTTTTCTATAAAACCCATCAAAAAAATTTGTTTTGTATGGGGCCTCATATTTCACAGGACCGGCACTGCTTAAAAGAACAAAAGTTAGACTTTAAACTGATCCAAAAGTTGAAGAACATTAGATCAACTAAAGACTAAACTTTGCCTTAGTCAACAGTCTTAATCCTGTAAGAAGAAACCGCATGAGCCAAAAAATTCCTTCTGTTGAACTTATCAAACTTAAAAAAATTCCTTTTGTCATCTTATGTTATGACATGTTGATTTTTTAAAGAGTGATGTAACTATGTAAGTTTGTAACCCTCTATTTTTACATGCAAATTTTTAAAGCACGGTATCAATCAAGAATGCAAAACGTGTTGGTGGTCGAGGAGGCCGTGGTCATCACAATTAGTGTTTTCTAGTAACCTAGATTGCACTCCCCGGCCCTCTTTACAGCTTCATCTTCTCATCTTTATGTTGTTATTCAGTTTCTCGATTAGGTGTAACACTAATCTCTTTGCTCTCTAAACTATAATCTAAACCACATGATCCAAAAGGTTGTGGTCTTGTAACCTGACATTTTGCATTTTAATTAGAAGATTTTTATCAAGTTATTTTACACTGAGAATCATAGTTCTATCATATATAGGGTGGAGCTTAGTCTCGTTACAAGTGAACACGAACGAATATATATAATGAAATTGAGTTGGCACATCAACTTTAAAATACAATTATTTTTAAAGTATTCGAAATAGAAACCCCTGAAGTCGTGAACTCATCACAGTCAATAGACTCACTTATAATAACATTTTTAATGTTGCTGGAAAACAAAGAAGCTGAAGCCTAGCTAGTTATAGTTTGAACAACAAACATATCAGAATCTGGGGCTTTGAGAACACCAAACAAACAAGGCAAATACTAGTAAGCATAGTACAAGTCCTCCTTATACAAGTATATATGAGCATCGGTCAACTGTCACAAGGGATTTTGTGTTCCTATGTCAATCTGAGGATATCATTAAAAACAAACATGAAAAAGATTCAGCAAAGTGAAAAAAAAAACTTAGATAGAAAAAGTTTCTCAAATACTTCTGACTTTTTGAAAGTTAAAATAAATAGCATAAATCATGCATATTTTCTAGAGGTGTGCATTTTAAATTTTTAACTGAACCGAACTACACCTACTAATATATTTTCTTTGTGTTTAGTTTCTTTAGAGAGGGTCTTGTCTACCTTTTGTAACATAACGAGACTCGGTCAATTATTACAAGAGCGCTTGCCTCACCACCGAGTTTTGGACATTAGATAGCTCCTCTTTTGAATTGATCTCAACGGATAAGAAAACAAAGGAAAATCTTCCAAAGAGAAAGAGGCAAATGTAAATAGTTTATGCCTTTGGTACAAACCTATATATGATTGATCCAAAAGCTGCCTTGTTATTACATAGAAACAATTACTTTTGCAAACGTACCATTTTCTCATGTTTCAGATCACAAAAGATGTACTTGGGCGGGTAATGATAAAGATAGAAGACCTTAGCTCGGAATTCTCTTGGCTGATCATACGAAGGATCCTTACCTTCGAAGGTAATGAAATACATTACGGCAGGAGTACCAGTAGTGCAAAGATTGGCTTTGATAACCTTGACAAATTCATATCTTGTATTCTATATTTTAGACAAATTAAGGCAAAAACCACTCATAAATTAATAAGTACAACAATCTTATAATTTAGTGTACATATTACATAATACGAATTTTATTAAAGAAAAAAACATAAGAATATAGTTTTGACCTCTCTTTCATTGTAACCCGCAAGGGATTCCCGAGACAGCCTATCCATTAACTCTCTGGGGGTTTCTGGTTTCACGACGAAAGCGGTGTCATCATAATCAACGGGTCGGTAATTAAAAACGCAGCAGAACTGCTTGAAATCGACGTCGAAACCCTATAAACAAAAGATTCATCAAGAATCCACAAAGAATATCAAAATCTCTTCCTATAACACTAAATTTTTACCAAAGAATGGATTGATCAAGACCTGTGTCTCCGTGACTTGTTTTGTCAAGAGGTGCAACTCTTCATCAGGGGTGAGATCAGGCCCCTCATCCTCACCGCGTCTTACCCACGGATATGCATTCTTAGGCATTGAACCAGCATCGTACTGTATATATGGGGGTTCGTCCTCAGTAATCCAATCTGAGACCACAAATCGAAATTAGGGATTTGATCAGTCGATCTTTAAAATCAAGACTTGGATTCCTACCTGGAAAAATATCCTCCATCGTTATATCGCCTTGTGTTTTTTATACAAAAGACAAAACCCTAACTTTTAAGTAAATGTCTCGAGTTAATTGCATTGGAGTTCCTCTATGTTTATATTCTATGTATTTTCTCCTCTTAGTTTTAATTCGACACTCACACCCCTCTAAGTTGGTCAATGGAGTATAGTGTGATGCTTGATTTGAAGGAAAAGTGTATCATACAAGTTTCAAAAGTTCGAAAACCGTTATTTCATTGTTAATTAGAGTATTAATTAATATTTGCACAAATGATAATTATCGGATAACTCTTAAAATCGTCATGTTTGAGTTAGAAACACAAAGAAGACATAAAATAGAAAGAGGAAAAAAAAAACAGAATAAGGAGTCTTATCAAAGTTAAGCTTAAGCCATTATATTATATCCATCAACGGCTTGTTTCTTGCCACTCAAGAAACTGATAACAACTTACTCCAACGAATTTGTCAATACAGTTTATTGATGATTAAATTTTGTAGATAACAACTTAATCCTACAAAAAGGTTAATGTTGTTTATTGATGGTTAAATCACGTAAAATTGACAATCAATAAGCGAACAAAAGTAATTGCAATGCTACATTGATTGTGAAGATGGGCTTTTAACAAACTTAAACAAATGCAAAATTCGCATCCTCTATAAAACAAAGAAAAAAAGTAAAAAAGTTTTTTTTTTTTTTTCCCCTCTTTCTGGAACCTCGATAAAATAAAACAACACAACCCTTTTGCTTTGTATCCAACTATTTCCCATTATTTGTACACAAGTCCCTCTAGTTTCTCTACTTTTCTTATTTGGCTCCTAGTTGTAGTTGTACACTATAAAAACCCGGGTAAGCGCGCAGACAACAACATCACGTGCCTACTCTGTGATTTCCTTTCCACCAACAGAGAGAGAGGAGAGAGAGAAAGAGACTGTTTCATGTAGCATCAGATTTTGTCCCCGGTTCGAGAGTAGTAATGATGAGTGATACACGTGTCGCCAGTATAGCTTTCTTTTTTTTTTTTTCTGAAGAAACAAATTTAAAAGAAATCTGATATTTTCTTTAAGTTTAAGAACAATATATATATATTTTCAAGATCACTAAAAAATTTATGTATAAGAACCGTGTTTTCAACACTAATTATTTATTTTTCAAGATCACTTAAGTCTAGTTTTTGTTTTGAGCAGAAAAAAAATCCACTTTGATTTCTTTTGTCTCTTTTATAATTAATGGGTCCACTTGAATTTTGATCAAATGCATTTTATTGTATGACATAAAAAAAAAAAAGCATTTTATTGTAATTTTCTTCCCGAGATGATCTTAAGGAAACATTTCATCTCAGAAAATATGGGAAAAGAATGGAGTTAACTACATAATTTTTTTATAAATAATATAACCATACTAATAAGTTTGACAAAAAAAGCATTAAAATTTTAAGATTAATGAGTAACATTAGGATAAGCGTCGCCATGAAGAAACGAAGGATTGATTTATATTTCCAAAATCTTTGGCAGTAGAAAACGACGAATGTAAGCATTTAATTAATATCCGTACGGAGCTCGCGTGGTTCTAGTTTTCATTTAATAGAAATAAACAAGCGAATATTCAGATTTATTTATTAAGAAAATGATACAATAACAATGAAAAGATAAACTGGTAGACTAATATAGTCCATGTCACTTTACTCTGATGTTCTACTTTTGAATGTGTTACGTAAAGTGGAATTATAACATTAGGAAAAAAACCAAGCCTAAAGTATATCTCCGATTCCGACGGGAAAAAAATATGGTGCTAAGTACTGTTGTGAGTTGTGACCATTATTTGAATAATATCTGATACGGTAATAAAGTTACTTGAGTGTGATTTGATATGGTCTTTTTGGTTAGTCAAATATATTGGTAGAATCTCTATTCTGAGCAATTGTTTTGTACGTGCCTGGGCATCTTCGTCTTTTGTTGAAGTCCACAAAAAGAAAAAGACTTTATCGCTAGGCAAATTAAATGTTTAAGTATCCCTTCACCCAAAACGATGAGCTTTTGTAATAATCTTTGGGATCTCTGTACAAACTTTCTAAAACTATTTTTTAGAGTAGACTTTTTCTCGATTAGCAAAACCCAAGATCATATAACTCTTTCTCACCAAAATTTCACCCCAAGTAATTATGATCATTAAAGCAAATGATACAACTTTATAACTTATTTTGTTGCCATTTTTCCTTCACTAGGTGGTACAAGCCAAATGAAATCTAATGATGCAAAGTTGGTATATATGATTAAACCAAAACAAAAAAAGATATCAAAATATGTTATTTAGTACTATTGTTTAAAATACATTTTTGGCTTTATATTACTTCTTCTGTGAATACTTGTAGCCGTTGTGAAATATGTATGAGTTGACAAAGATAAATTTTTTCAAAACATAAGACCGAGACTATTAAACTATTAAAAGGAAAGAAACAAAATATCAAATAAAAGATGGGGCAGATGAGATGGGACAGAGGACAAATAACCGATTTCAACAATAAAAATCAAATAAAAAGACAAAAGGTGAGAATGGTATATGTCGAAAAGTGCAACATCTTTACAAGGATGTTGGATTTCTTTTTTTAAATTATATAGTACAAGGTTAGAAGTTAACCACACTACATTTACATTAATTTTAGAATTTAAGTATAATGATGATTGATGAGAGATAGATCATAAATTTACATTAGTGAGCTCAATTGATGATTAATCATTTAATTATTAGACAATCCTCAGATGCATTATTTGTTCCTTCCCAGATTCCATTTTAGATTGTTGACTAATAATCATATAATTGATTGATAATGCGTTGAATATTTAATTTCTTAAAAATAACACGTTGATTTTGGTCGATGTGACGATGTTGATGTGATTTGAAAGTTTTTTTTTGAATGCTGTATTCCACAAGATGCATGGTTGTAAGCATATGTTTGTAATGAAATATCATGATTACCAAAACTTAAAGTAGAAAAGCGTAATATATGGCAAGAAAAAAATATATAAGAGATTGTTAAAAATTTCCACACAAACGTAAAGATAATTTCCACACGCATTCTATTTGCCTATTTAGTGATAGGTTTTTTAACTTTTCTTGCTCATAAATTTCTCTGTAGCTAATAGACAGAACGAATCTTTAATTTGATTAGTTCGAGGTGTAGAGCTTTATGTTGTCCTTCTATCAACAAGTTTTGCATTAGAATGGCTTGTGCTTCATTGATGGGTTTACTAATAAACCAATTTGAGTAATTTTCAAATATAGGACTCTAGGCTCTAGAAATTAAGATAGGTCAGTAATCAATATGTACTATGTAGTACATGACTCAGTGTGTGCTCTCCAAGTTTTCTATTTCACATACCTTTTGTTCTTTTTATCTTTTAAAGGTTGTGACTTGTGATCTTTTTTTTTCTTTCATGAAAGTTGGTTACCTAGTTTCGTTTGCCATGAAAGTTGGCTCCTTTCTTACTTGATTTGATGCATAGGTATGGTTTTCTATTTACTTTTTTTCCATGAAAGTTGCTCTTTTCTTACTTGGTTTGAAGCATATGAATTTCTAATTGTTTTTTTCCATGAAAGTTGGTTCATTTTCTACTTGATTCCAAATTTTCATTCTCCATGAAAGCTAGCTCTCTTCTTACTTGCTTTGAAGCATACGCTTTTCTGTTTTATCATTTTAATTTTTTTTTGGTCGTTGACGTTAGTCAAATGGTTAGAACGGTGGAAATTATGTTTCTTTTCTTCTTACTTGTTTAGTTTTTCTGAAATTGTTTACGCTTACTTGTTTAGGATAGTATCTGTGTTTGTGTGATTTAGTTATATCATCATCATCATCATCATCATCATCATCATCATCATCTATAGTTATAAAAGAAAGGCGGTAGTTAAACGTAACTCACTTATTTATTTCTTCAATAGTACTTTATGCTGCTGGTCTGAAAGCTAATTTTGTGTCCTTTTTCAAATTTCAGAAATTGTTTTTGTTTATAATGGGAGATCAAATAGCAAGGGCCGAAAAGAATAAGAATGTGGTAATTATATATATACGTTAAATAGTAAAATGCTTGGTGACAGAAACAAAATAGCTCACTACTAATGATCATTATTTGATTGATGATGAAATAGGTGGGTTCGTCTAGCTCTGAGTATCCTGAGGTACAAAAATGTGATTTTGTGGATTTTGTGTTTAAGCGAAACTCTTAATGTATATAGATATCTGTTGTTTGTTTGGTAGGATATTCCACAAGGATGTAAAAGACGATTGAGCTGGAGAAATGTGGAAGGGAAAAACATGTTAAGGCAAGTGGTCGACCAGGGAAATCAGCGTAAGCATTCAACTCTGATGAAATTGTTTTATTTTTTTATTTGTTTATCTTGTTTTAAACACAAATCAATTCATCATAGCAATTCTCGTAATGCATATGTGTATATATTATATGATATTTTTATTAATTATTTTTATCTTTTGATTGACAGCATATTGTTGGAATATTTCAACAAGTCACATGGTTTCATCACATTTATACATCCATGGAAAAACGGAAACACTTCTTCCGCTTTCAGCCCGACATTTGTTTGTCGGGGTTAAGGGAAAAAATCCGGATGGTTCGCTCAAAAACTTTGAGAACCTAAAGGATTTTTTGGTGAACCAAGGCATGATTCAAGAAAAAGACTGTGCATGTGTCGTAAAAAAAGAAAACGAGCATAGAGGAAGCAGCTCAAAGTCAAAACCAAAAAACAAGAAAAAGAGTTCGAAGAAGGAAAAGGCTAAAGCTAATCCATGTTTTGGAAAAATGGAGGTAATTAAATATAGTAATAATTATGTGGTTTTTTTCTTTCAAATAATTATGTGTTATTTAATCAGATATATAATAGATATTTTGATTTTTTCAGGGTAAAAAGGTTACCAAAATCAGGGATTTGCAAATTGTGAGAAATGTTGATGAAAGAGAGTTGATTGAGTTGCTACAGAGAGGACCGGTTACAGTGAGTATAAAAGTAGCAGATACATTTAAGCTATTTAAAGGGGTGAGTAAATTAAATAGACCTATATTTTTCAATTTACTATACACTATGATTTTTATTATAATGTTTCTTATAACTAAACAACAGGATGAAGTTCTTAGAGGATATAGTCAAAGCAAGAGTCTAGAAGATCATATGATTGAGTTGACGGGTTATGACACTACTCCCGACGGCATTAACTACTGGGAATTTCAAAATTCATACGGTAATGGCTGGGGGCAAAATGGATTTGGAAAACTAATTCGAAAGAGTAGCCGAAAGAAACACGAGCCATCTCTAATCAATGTTTGCATTTATCCAGAGGTATGACATAATAGTATAATATCTTTACTTGGTATATGTAATATGAATTTGTATTGTTTATAAGAATATTAGTAGTTTTACTCAGTTTTGGTTATTTTTTATGCAGCTTCTGGATTAAAGCAAAGGCAGATAGAGAGAGGAAGCTATTTATGCGCGTTAACAAAAGGAAAAAAAAAAACATATTTTAAGTTTTTGTTTCTTCTAAAACTCTCGTTTTTATGTTTGGAAAATTAATTAATGTAGTAAAGGATTGACAACACATTGATTATAAAATCAAAAAGTGAACTAAATTACAAAATAAAAAGCAATGTTTTTGGAAAAAATTTATTGCCCCTATTAAGCTTACAAACAGTCATCAAATATAGTAGTAAAAGTTCTCTTCTTGTGACAAAATCAAATCATCACAACACAAAAAAACAAATTGCTCATACAAAAACATAACATGTCAATCATATACATTACCTATGCTAATCAACGAGTGATGTATTGAATTACGGCTCGGTCTTTCAACCATTCAAGCACTTTTGCTCCTTCTAAAATCTCTTGTACCTAACCATCAATTCAAAGAACCTCTCTCTTTTTGAGTGTTCTTATATAGCTCAAGAAATCACAAAAAAACCAACCTGATCTTCCATCTTTCACACGCTCTTCGTCGTACTCTTGTTTATGATACTTGAATTCTGAGATCGAGTTCTCGACCTCTTTAACGAGTTCATCTGTTGAGAATTGCATTCAAGTAATTTGACAATGTTTTGTTACTAACAATGTTTTCTTTCTTTCTCGGAGACAAGAGAATTATGCATATAAATATACCTCTTAAGTTTTCGCGTTTGATAGATATCCCCGACAGCTAAATTCTGTTTGATTATGTTGGTAATGCTCTCTCTTTGAGTTTCTAGAAACTCATTTACTGCTTTTTGACTTGAAAGAGAAGCCAATTGGTAAGAATCTGAGTGACAGTATAAGAGCGTAAGAGATAGAGATCAACAACATTCATCAAAAACACTTGCCTGAATCTCTTTTTGATAGAGATCAACAACTTTTTGTAATTTAGTTCACTTTTTAATTTTATAATTAATGTGTTTTAATCAAAACAACCTCGTTTTGTGTAATCTAACAAGAGAATCTCAACACAAATTTAACTCCGCTAATTAGTTTTGAATTTTTTGATAGTCAACTTAATGACCTATCTTATTTGGCAAAATCAACAAAAATTAGCAATTAAAAAAAAATTAGAAATTAAATTTTTTTTTTTTTTTTTGTCATCCGCAATTAATTAGAGCTCAAAAGAGCCATTCATGAGGAATGTTGTTTACATAGGTGATATGAAGCGGTTCTGTACGAACTTTTCGTGCCAGGTTATCCGCCTTAACATTAGCCCTACGAGAAATTAAAGATAAAGAAAAAGATGAAAACTCCTCTTTGTCGCTATGTAATTCCTCCAAATACACTGAAAACGCCGGCCATTCGGTTGGGGAAGACACAATCTTCACCAAGTCTGAACAGTCTGTAAAGAACGCTACCTCTTGATTATCTGCACCAATCATACACTTCATCGCCCAGAGAAGGGCCTCGACTTCAGCATGTAGTGGAGATAGACTTCTACGGAGGTTCGCAGCTCCCATTGTTGGCGGCTCTCCATTTGACGATGTACAGAACCAGCCTGTACCGGAGAACTTATCACTTTCTTTCCATGATCCATCCACAAAACAACGGTATCCCGAATATTCCGTCTCAAGTGAAATATCCCTCACTCGATCTTGATTTACCAATTCCACATAACCATGATTTTCATTATGGAGCTCAATTTGAGCTGACTGCCATAATTGTGCCTCTTTTTCCGCTAATCGTAATACTTCTGCTGGATCTGTATCTATGTTTTCAAAGATCTTTTCGTTCCTTGCTTTCCAAATATACCAAATAATCCATGGGAAGGCTGACGAATCAACTTCCGTAGGTATTCTCCAAAATAAGTGATCCAAATTCGTAAAATTAGATTCCGTGGGGAAAATCCCCATAGCTGTAGGAATCTGTGAAAGTGCCCAAATCTGCCTTGCCTGGTGGCACTGAAAGAGTGTATGATTGATTGTTTCCTCTGATGCGCCACATCTGGCACATCCCGTGTCACAATCAATTCCTCTTTTCCGTAAATTTTCCGTAACTGGTACACATCCCGTTAAGATTTGCCATATGAAATGACGTATCTTATGTGGACACTGCACTTGCCAAGAATATGCTTTTAACGTGTTGATGTTAGGACCAAAAACGTTTAAATTAGAAATTAAAATCAAAAATCAAAAAAAAAAGTTGACTAATTTTCTTTGACATTCTTTAATGTTGACGATATTTTTGGACATTTTCCCATTAAAATGTACATGGTTGTGGGCTTTACTATTATTAGTTTTATTAGTAATTTTCTTTAGCTTTGAGGGTCCATTTAAGAATTTGTAAGATAGTGTCCAAATAGTTGGAAACTAGAGGGACTTGTGTACAATTAATGGGAAATAGTTTGATACAAAGCAAAGGGTTGCGTGCGTTGTTTTATATTATCGATGGTTCCAGAAACAGAGGAAAACTTAGAAATTAGGGTTCTTCAATAGAAATTAGGGTTCTTCAACACAAGGCAATAACTTGATCCCTGAGGAGCGATGTCGGAGGTTGATATAGACGGTACGAGTCCATTTTTTGTTTGATGAAGCTTTATGTTTTCGTGTATATAGTCGCAATCGATACCGATTTTTGTGTATAGCCCTGACTCTGATAATTGATAAGCTTGTCTCAGGTAGGTCTCCAATTCTGGGACGTGTGTATCTGAGTTATGAGGTTGGTTCTTTTCCTGAGAATCTGATTCCTCCGCATATTCGATGGGACGAGAAAAAAGAGCCTATGTACACGACAGAGCAAGAGTATGTTATGATGAGAAGACAAGTCAGGAAGAGCAAGGTTCTTCTTCTCCTTCTTGTTCTTGTTCTTTTTCAATTCGTCACTTCATTTTCAGATGTTGTCATGTTGATTTGTCGATTCTTTGTGTTATATAATTTAGGGATTCGACATCGATTTCACACAGTTCCGCTCTGTTTTCAATTACCGCCCTATGGATATAGACGATTTTGACTGTAAAGAGTATTCTTTGGCACCAGAAACCACTAGGGAGTTACTCGAGAGGCTGTCTCGAAACTCCCTTAAGAACTACAACAAAGAATGGGTCTGCTTTCAATTTCTCTTTGTTGTTTTGAAAGATAGATCAACTTTAGTTTGATCTGCTAATGAAATTGTTTTTTTTTTTTTGGATAACAGTTTACAGAATATGAATTTCTCAATGTTGTCAAAGCCAATTCTTACATGTGTTCTGGGAGAATGTATTTCTTAACCTATGAGGTTCGAGATCCTTACGACAACCTGCCAAAGCTCTTCCAAGCTAGGGTCCGCTATTATTATGATGTTACGGATGACTACATATTATGCAGACCAAAACCCAATCAGAAAGGTATTATTGTTCTCTTCTTTCTACGTGACTAATGTAATCGTTTCTATAGATCATTAGGCCAGATTGTTTGTGAATTAGCAATTGTGGTGTGCATTTGTATCATTCTTTCTCTTTTGGTTTATATGATCCTATATATGTTTCTTCATAAGACTCTTTTGTAATGGTAAAATTTGATTGTTTTGTCAGTCAAATGCGTTGGAACTTCCAGGAAACATAAAAGGTAAACCCGTCGTTTATCTTGATGCATCTCTTCCTTTATGTTAATAGACTCTCCAAACTCTTTAATCTGTTCTCTTCTGTTCATGATTTTTGCAGCTTGGCATAGGAGCTTTTGCAGCTAGGGTAGAATTGTTCTTGTCGCCCAAATCACCACTAGGAAGTTAATGTTGACTAAATCTTATTAATGTGAGCTATATCTTTAATTAAGAAAGACAAGCATTACATTTCTCGCCAAATCGTGTAATGTGGATCCTATTGTAATCTCTCTCTTTTTTGGACGTTTTCTTATTTCCATTTGCAACCTTAGCTTTTATGGTGGAACCAAAAAATATATTGGTTGCGAGTGTGATATGATGGAAATGTTTTTGGCAAACAAGACATGTTCGTAGTGACAAAACAACCCGAGTAATTAGGGACAGTATCCATAGCTCTGATAGGATTGGGCTGTAGAGCCAACGTAAGGGATCAAAAGTAAAATCTAACTGTACAATAGCATATTAGCTCTGAAGTTGCGGAATCAAGATTTGGCGCCATGTTACAGAATTTGGTAGATGAGAATATCATGTCTTGGGATTTGATATCGATTTTAGGAAGTTCCGCTGCCTTTTCAACTACCATACTGTTGATTTTGATGATGATGAATTCGTTGAGAAGCCAGAAACTAATGTGGATTTAATCAAGAGGCTGTCTCAGAAATCCATTGATAACTATAAATTTTTATTCAAGAACATGTGAGAACTAATTAAGAGCTAGCTAGTCTCATTAAGTAATGCTTCTGATTTTATGTTTGTGATCTATATTCTTACAATCAAGAGGTTCTTCTATCCTTGTTTTCAAACAGGAGACAAAATATGAATTTGTTAAGGTTCTCTATGCCAATTTTCACATGTCTGCTGGGGAAATGTTTCTCATAACATTTGAAGTAAAAGATATCCAAGCTAGGATTCGCTACTCTTTCCTCAATGAGAGCAACTTTGTCTTTTGCAGGCCAAGAATGTACTCTTTATTTTCCATATATTGGGCAGGTTTTGGAATGGATCATTATATTGGGTATAGTAGCATATGAAATTGTTCTTTACAATAGCAAATATGGCATGTCACCTTTTTAGTTTTAAACGTGAGAACTAGTCTACTTCTTCTTCTTTTATGTTTCAGAAAATCATGAAACATGCAGTATTGTTATACTATATAGTCCAAATCTGCAACTATTAATCAATCCAGTCTACATGTGTTGCAAAGAGACACGTACCTGATTCAGCAGTAGCCCCAAAGAAAGACAGAAGCAATCTTCAATAGAGTCATCAGAACAAAGTATAAAGATGAACTTAGCAAATGAATTAAGAAGGCGTATCCAACAAGTTCTTTTTGTAAAATTGACCATCACATAACTTATCTCATTTCAACAGTAACATAAATAAATACGACAAAAAAAATAAAATAACAAGTGTAAGTGGAACATCAGAATCGAAATCGATCAAGCAAGAAGCAAAATGGCATTGAAGCTTCCATTCTTTTATTTATCCTCCAACTGATGATCCTGTAAAGCAAACACACTAAGCTAATCAGAGACAGAGAGGGTTAATCTGAAATCTCTATCTTAAATTTGACTTGTACATTTAGTAGCTCTGTAGCCAAAGCTAGATATATATGCACACGTTCTTCTCTAAAACCCAGAAGGAAAACAAATAAACTGGACAAAAATGTGTCGAGGACATACCACGCTCTGCTGCAGATCCACCAACATTGCCACTGCCTTTCGTAGTTCCTTCTTCCTACATAAGCCGGCCAGCATACTGTGGAAAGTGATGTAATCTGGAGCCACACCACTAGAAATCATTTCATTGAAAATGTCTAGGGCGGCATTAAGATCACCCACTTGACAAAACCCATGAATCAAAGTGCTGTAAGTAACAGTATCAGGAACTAATCCTCTTTGATGCATCTCGCAGAAAATCTCCATTCCATCGTCAACCCTTTTAGCCTTACAATAGCCATTGATGAGGGTGTTAAAATTGACTTCATTCGGAGAGCAGCCCTTGCTAGCCATTGAATCTAACATGCGCTTTGCGTCACCTAGACAATCCTGCTTGCAAAATCCCTCGATCATCGAATTATATGTGACTGTGTCAGGAAATATACCTCTACGAAGCATCTCAACATATAATTCTTCAGCCTCAAAGAACTTCCCTTCTTTGGCAAATGCATTGATCAATGCACTGAAAGTTACAACATCAGGATTTACTTGCCTTTCAATCATATCACGCAACAATTGCTTGGCATCACTCCATTTACCAGAACTACAACAGGCGTCTATCATACAGTTGTAGGTATGAACATCGGGAAAAATTCCTTTGTCATGCATTTCAGCGAAAAGATTTTGAGCATCGCTATGATGTCCGTCTTTGCAAAGGTGATCAATGATGGCACTATAGATTACAACATTGGCTTTGATGTGGCGTGCCTCCATCTTCCTAAGCAGATTCAAGGCCGAGTCAGTGTCACCCATCTTACACATTCCATTGACAATTGTTCCGTAAGTAACTACGTTAGGTTGATGACCATTTTCTACCATCTGATCAAGCAGAGCCACTGCTTGGAGAACTCGACCCTCACGGCAAAGACCGTTCATTAACGTGTTAAACGTTACGACATTGGGTGTTAATCCAGTTTCAACCATATGATCAAATAAAGTTAAGGCTTCGGAAATCCGATCTTCGAGACATAGCCCGTGGAGCAGCGTGTTATACGTAACAACATCGGGCTGGAGACCAAGTTTAGTGATCTTCCCGAATGTCGACAAAGCAAAAGACAACTTATGACAGTCGCAGAAACATTTTATCAGAATAGCGAAGCTGAAGATATTAATTGGAATCCTCCGCAATTCCATCTTGTTATGGAGAGAAATCACAACATCGGGACGATTCATTCTGACGATGACACCCATTAATTTACAGAAATCAATTGCCGAATACAAGGGACGAGATCTAACCATTTCATCGAACAAATCGATCGCATCATCTATTGATATAATGAAACCCACTTCTCAATTTCAAACTCTCTCCTTCAAAAGTTCCTTTGCGACCACTGCAATGGACTGGCAAAGAAGGTAGACGTTTTCTAATCCTACCTTTCTGGGCGACGCGACGATGAATCAATCTCGTGCTGATCAATCTAGCAGCAGCATTGGCAGAAGAAGTTTCCGATCTACAAACTACTCTTTCGTTGACGCGAGCGATTATGTCTTCTTTAGGCCGAATCCCGAACAAGAAGGTACTTTCTTTTCCATAAATTGGGCAGCTTTTGTAATGGATATATAATAGCTAGGGTAGTAGCAAAAGCAAATGAAATGATTAATGTGGAGTGTAGTAACCTCTTCCTTCTAATATTTCTTTTTGGGGTTGTTCCTTATGGTATACTGGATTGTTTTGGCAGATTCGACCCACGAAGATGGCGTTGGAGTTACCGAGAAAGATGTCAAGAAACCAAGGTATATATCTATTCAAACTTGGATGCATCGTTTCCGTAATGTTTGATGTGAGAATATCTTAGATGTTCATTTGATATTGGCAGACTGTAATAGGAGCTTTATGCACGAGAGTTTACCGATCCTTGGACGTGTTCCCATTGATTTGTGGCAAACTTACTAGCTATAGCTAGTCTAAACTGTGATTTCTATAACAGTATATAGCAAAATTAGCCTGTCACCTTAATGTTTTGTTTTAAGTGTTAAACTGATTTTAGGGAGCTTTTTTAATCACTTGACTACACTCATAGTATTTTGAAATTTTTATAATTAAATAAGCATTTCTAAAATTTTAAGAAGGTTTTATGAACATTTGCAAGTTGCAAGAAATAAAATTACAAACTTTATAGAGGAATAAAGAAAAGATTACTTCAACTTCACAAAACTTGACATTTTTCCTTTTGATATGGAACTAAGATTAAACATCGCAATAAAGACAATTCCGTATTTCAATGATTATGCATAACTTTCAAATTCTCATATGAGACTAGCTCATACATTTCAAAATCATAAAAAAAGAAATTTGGTTGTATTCTAGATTTTGGAGTATCAATTGCACTTTTTACTAACGTTGTTATTTGAATAAGATTTTTCAGAAAAGAGTTTTCGATTGGCTGGTAGTTGTACGAAATTAAAAGTATGAGGCCAAAGAATGATACTATATCATAAGAAATAAAAGAGACTTGAGTAAAAAGAAAATAAAGAAGGGGAACGCAACTAAAATCACTTTCAACAAAGCGAACAGAAACAAAAAAAAAAAAAAAAGGTTAGGGTTTCGTCATCTCTTCTTCAACGCAAAGTGCGATCTGATCCGTGGGGAAGGAGTCATGGTTGAATCATTCGAAGGTTTAGTTTCTCTAAACTCTAGGGTTTGTAAATACTCCCGATCAGTCGATTAAAAGCCCTTGATTTCGATTTGTTATTTCAGGCTGGACTTCATGGGTCGAAGATGCATATTTGCTATGTACACCTGAAGACCCTGAGTGCTTGAAGCATCACTATATCACACGAACTGAGAAAGACGAGCCTCAGTACACAGTAGATGAAGAAATTTCCATGATGAACGAACAAATCACAAAGAGCGAGGTTTTTGACATTATTGTTTTTGTTTTTGCTTCAAAGTTGTCACCATATTGAACTAATGAAGGTTTTGTGTGAATTAGGGGTTCGATATTGATTTCTCGTTGTTCCGATGTCTGTTCAACTACCATCTTGTTGATCCCGATGATTACGATTTCCTTGAGGATGAAACAACAGAAACCAACGGGGATTTCATGAAGAGGCTTTCTCAAGAATCCCTTAAGCGCTACAATGACGAATGTGTTAGAACTGAATAATCCATTTATGTTCCTAATGTTCTTTTTTGTACACAACAATTCAACTTAATGGTTCCTTGTTTGAAACAGGGTACGAAATTTGAATTTCACGAGGTTGTCAAAGCCAATTTTCACGGATCTGTTGGATATATGTTTCTCATCACGTTTCAAGTGTTTGATCCATCTGATGACCAGGAAAAAACCTTCCAAGCTAGGATCCGTTACACTACACATTACCCGACTGAATTCGTCTTTTGTAGGCCGAAACCCAATCCAGAAGGTACAAATTAAAAGTTATTGTTTTGGATACTTGGGTTCATAGCATAAGTGATTCATTGTGGAGTATATATAGTTGCCTCTTTCTCTTGTTTAAAGATGTGTATAGCTTGTAAAAGTGGTTATTATCTCTGGTTCTTGACATTTGTTTTCTTTGGCTTTATTTGGCAGTTGACTCTGGTGAAACTTATAAGGAAGATGTCAAAGGTTGACGTTGACGTTGACGTTGGAGTCTTGGATTGAATACTTGCAGATTGACGAAAAAAAAATAGTCTAAATTTTCAAAAACAAGGGTCCCATCCAAAGGTTTCTTTTGTATAGTGCTCAGGACCGGTCATGGGTTTATTAAACCCAATTTTTACTTAGCCCTATCGTTAACAAGCTTGCGATAGTTGTTTACTTATAGCACTATATATCGTTAACAATTGAAAACATTGTTACCATATAATTGAGAAAATTGTTATCGTATAGAACACCATTATCAATGGTTTCTTAATTTTGGTTCTTAAGAATTTTTAGTATTAAATTTATAAGTTTTGGCTCTTAACTTCTTTTTTTTGTTCTTTACCTAAGGAACCCATCTTAGATTTAATGCATTTGGGAATTAATTTTAATCAATTAAATGCTAAGATCATCTTAAGATTTTTAAATCTAAAGTTCCAAAACCAGTAAACAAAAGGTTGAAAATTTTACAAACTATGGTGTGTTGGAGAACACGGTGTCGACAACTGGAGGAAAAATCGGCAACAGCAACCATCATCGAGAAGACTTGTTTTGGAGATGAATGTGTTGAGGAAAATAAAAATTTGTGTCTTATATCTAGATTTACAGATATTGAATGGTCAGAAAATTCGACATGTTTTCTTTGTAGTATATCTAGCTAGCTCATATACTGTACTTCTTTTTTTTGTCGTATTCTAGTTTCTGGAGTATCAATTTCAAGCACTTTTTACTCACGTTCTTATTTTGACTAAGATTTTTCAGAAAATAAATTTTTATTGGGTGGTAGTTGGGAGAAACTAAAAGTATGAGGCCAAAGAACGAAATAAAGAAATAGAAGGGACTTCATAAAAAAAAATAAAGAAGGGTAACGCATCGAAAATCACTACAAAAAGTTAGGGATTTTTTTCATCTCTTCTTCAACGTAGGGATGGGTGAAACATTCGAAGGTATGAATTCAATTTTTGTTTCTCTAAACTCTAGGGTTTGTATATACTCAGTGCTTGTTATTTTCGATTTGTTATCTCAGGCTGGACTTCGTGGGTCGAAGATGCATATTTGCTATGTACACCTGAAGATCCTGAGTGTTTGAAGCATCACTATATCACACGAACCGAGAAAGATGAGCCTCAATACACAGTAGAAGAAGAAATTGCTATGATGAACGAACAAATCGAAAACAGCGAGGTTTTTTAAAATTTTTGTTTTTATGTTTTATGTTATCAATCCACTTACAAAGTTGTGGTCATGATATTGAATTAATGTGTAAATTAGGGGTTCGATATTGATTTCTCTTTGTTCCGCTGTCTGTTCAACTACCATCTTGTTGATCCCGATGATATCGATTTCGTTGAAGAGCCAGAAACCAATGGAGATTTAATGAAGAGGCTTTCTAAAGAATCCCTTAACGTCTTTAATAAGGAGGAGGTGATGAAAACTAATCCATGCTCGTATGTTTTAGATGTGGTGATGTTGTACACTTATGAATGGTTGGTTACTTTGTTTCGAAATAGGGCACGGAATTCGAATTTGTCAAAGTTGTCAAAGCCAATTTTCACTATAGCGCTGGGTTTATGTTTCTCATAACATTTCAAGTCTTGGATCCATCTGATAACCAGGAAAAACTCTTCCAAGCTAGGGTTCGTTACTCAACACGTTTCCCGGCTGAGTACGTCTTTTGTAGGCCAAGACCCGAGCCAGAAGGTTCCTTTTCTTTTCTGACTCTTTAAAGTTTATACTGTTTCTACATATTTTTTTGATACTTGTGGGGATCATAACAAATTGATACTTGTGGGGATCATAACAAAAGCATAAGTGATTCATTGTGGAGTGCATTTGCCTATTTCTTTCTCTTGTTTAAAGATGTATAGTTGTATCTTTATTTTTATTTTCTTTTGGAAAATGGTTGTTATCTCTCTGTTTGACATTTATATTCTTTGGATTGTTTTGGCAGTTGACTCTGATGATACTTCCGAGGAAGATGTCAAAGGTATATGAAATTATCCATCCATATATAAGAGCCTTGATGTCAGTTCATACTTACAAAAATTGCATGATCGATTGATGCATCAATTTATGCGATGGTTGTTTACTTAGAACTATCGTTAACAGTTATAACCCTCTAATTGTAAGTTTTATCCTACGACCAGACTATAAGAAATTGAACTAACTATATAATACTCCTAGAAGTTATGAATGCGTAACTTTAACTACAAGGGTCTTGACCGCATAGCGCAGTGGACTAGCGCGTTTGACTTCGGATCAAAAGGTCGTGTGTTCGAACCCCACTGTGGTCGTGAAAGATCGCAATCTTCTTATTTAGATAAAAAAAAATCTGATATGAGTACAACTCTCCCAAAAAGATTTTAATTTTCAGTCCTCCACTCTTATTGATTCTACAAAGACAAACATGTTAATTTTCCTTTTAAATATATACAGTCAAAGTTTAAACGATTTAGAGTATAACTTGGTTCAATTGATATAAAATAAAAACAAGGTTTGAAAACCAATTTTTTCTGAAAACTCAGTTTTATGCTTGAGGGAGTGAAAAAGGTTGTGTTTTTAAGGGGTGTGAAGAGATTACACATGTGGGACCCAACTCTTCCAAACAGATTTCAATTTTCATTCCTCCAATTATTGATTCTACAAAAGAAATTTTTTCTTTTAAATATATTTTAGATGCAACTTTTTATAATTATCAGATAAATTTGCAAGATATGACTTAAACGCTAAAACTCTAATAAATCATATTGCAAAAAAATGTTGATATATTTTGCAATATTTTTTGAAAATTTAAGAAAAAACCATGAATAAATCCTGATAGAAGAGACTTAATCGAACCTTACACTTATTAAGTTATAACTTATAACTGATTAAGTCTTTTTTTTTTAATCAGACTTAATTATAACTGATTAAGTCTAGCACTGTAACTGATAAATCGATTAAGATATTTACAGTAGAAAGAAATTACAAAATTTTATACATGAATAATAAAAGATAAAATACTTCAACTTCAAAAAAATTGATATTTTCTTTTTGTCGTACGTAATACAAGACATCAAAGTTGTAGTATTTCACTAGTGATGAAAAGATATTTAAAATTCATATACTTTTTTTCGTATCATAATTTTGTATTTATTCAACGCACTTTTACTAACGTTGTTCTTTTATATTCACCAAAAAACACGTGGTTATATTTTATTGGTGAGTAAAAATCGTTGTTATTTTATAATAAAAAAAAAATTTCAGAACAGAGCTTTCGATAGGGTTGACGAAATTAAAAGTATTAGGCCAAAAGACAAAGAAACAATAAATAACAATAAAGAAAAGGGTTAGGGTTCTTCCTCATCTGTTGATCAACGATGTGTGAATTCGATGGAAGTACGATTTGAATTTCGTCAATGTTAAGTTTAAGGGTTTATAATCTTACTCTAACCCGATGGATTCCAATAACAATGTCTCAGGCTGGGTTACATGGCTCGAACCTGCGTATTTGCTGTGGAAACCTGGGGGTCGTGGCTATGAGAGACCTTCATACATGACTAAGACGGAGAAAGATGAGCCTAAGCTGACACCAGAGCAAGAACTTGCCCTAATGACCAAAGAAGTCAATGCTAGCGATGTATATATGTCCCCCTTACTTTGTTTTTCTTTTATGATAATAACAAATCAACTTTACAATTGTTTGGTGAAAACATATATATGCATTCAGGGGTTTGATATAGATTTCAGCTCCTTCCGCTGTGTTTTCAACTACCATCCTGCTGTTCTCCATTCTGATCTATTCGCTGACGATGACTTTGAAACTACTGAGGATTTCCTCAAGATGCTTGCTCAGGAAGCCCTTGATGTCTACAATGGCAGACATGTGAGGGAACTAGTCTTTTGTGCTTTCAAATTCCAATAATGTATGAATGTGTTTAGGTTTTCTTTGTTTTACAAAATAGGTCACAGAATATGAGTTGGTCAAAGTTGTTACAGCCAATTATCACTTTGCTTGTGCGATTATGTTTCTCATAACATTTCAAGTCAAGGATCCTTATGATGATAAGATTAAGCTCTTCCAAACAAGAGTACGCCAGGGTAAACATATCACTACTAACTATGTATTCTGCAGGCCCAAACCCAATCAAGGAGGTATATAAACCCTAAACTAATCATTACTCTTGTTGAAATCGGCTGTTTCTTGAGATTTTGTAGTATTTGGTTTGTTTTGATAGTGAAATACATTGGGATCAAGAAAGTTGTCAAGAGCCATGTTCCGAAAGATGTCAAGAAACAAAAGTAAGTGATGGAAACGGTCTTTACTTTGCTTTTTTGATTCTTGAATGGCTGATTTTTCTCTTGATTTTGTTCTCTTTACAGATTGGAGGATGAGCTTTTGTGTGCCACAAGGAGTTAGAATCCAGAGATGTTCCATTGGTCCTAGATGTGACTTTAATTACTTACTTATGGGAGCTCTTTTGTTGCTAGGGAATGAACTTATATATTATGCGACTTGTACTGTTTTTCTTTTTATATGTATCGTTTATTGTTATGAGTATCAACATTATGTTTTAAAATGAGTCTTTGCTACTTTGTTCAACGGAAGCTTTAAAGCTTCCAAAATTTTCTCCACCATTGAATCCCTTTATTAAGCTTCGTCTAAGAAATTCAGTGGAGCAAAAGGGAGATAATTGGTACAACGATTATAAGACCTGAATTAATCTGAAAATCCACTGTCACTGCGACAAATTAGCGACATTAATTTAAAATTATCTAAAATATTATCTAAAGTCTCCTAAAATTAATTTAAATATTTAAAAACAAAAATGTTAAGTTTTTGAATAACAGTAGATTTGACATGATTCTGGTAAATCATATATTGATTAACTAGAGATTTAATACTATTTTGAGTGATTATAAGCAAAATTCAAGTTCAATATTTGGAAAAAAATTGGAAACTCTTTAATTGAATAAGAGCTGATATCCCGAGGGCTACACTAGAAGTAATCTATAGGAGTCCTGGAACAGATAATATCAATTCATAAAGTCACTTGCCTAACAAAACTAAAGGGTTCTTTAGTTCATAAAACGCAAGGCGATATCAGAGTCAAGAGGAGCGATGGCTTATGAACCTTTTAAAGAATGGGATCATTTGGACATACCTGCATATCTGCAACCTGACCCAGAGCATTCTTATATTCTGTGTATAAGACGCGGTGAGGATGATGGACCTCATCTCACGCCCGAAGAAGAGGAACACCTTATGCAGAAACAAGTCATGGAGACAGAGGTTTTGAGCTTTCTTCATTCATCAGTCATCTTGTAAATTTCGTTTAAGTTGATTTTTGGATTCTTGGGGATATCTTGTGTTTATAGGGATTCGACATCGATTTCAAGCAGTTCCGCTGCATTTTTAACTACATACCTATTGATTTGGATGACAACGATTTAACCATGGAACCAGAAACTACGAGAGAGTTAATGGATAGGCTGTCTCGGGAATCACTTGAGAGATACAATGAAAGAGAGGTCGAAAACTAGAAACTATAGTCTCATGCTTATGCTTTTAAATTCGCGATATTGCTACGGTTATTGGGTTTTGGTGTTTTCTTTTATGCATTAGAACAATAGTTTTGGTGTTTTTTCCTTGAGTGTTTCAAAGGGTCTATATAGAGGGTCTTTATGCTATTGAAAACACGTACAACTTCCAACAATTAACCTAATTCTCTAAGAGAGACTTGGGTTAAGAAGATGCTTTGCTTTAGTATCATTCTGCTTTCAAGCTATAGGCCTATAGCAACAGTCCGGTTACTAGATAAGTCTAAAGCGTTGGCTCATATCAATTATCTACACTAATACACGATGAGTGGTTTTCTTCTTTTGTTTATAAAATAGGATACAAAATATGAATTTGTGAAATTTATCAATGCCAATCTTCACATAAATGCCAATCCTTCCATAACGTATTACATCACCTTTGAAGCTAAGGACCCTTCCAATGATCAGCCAAAACATTTCCAAACTAAGGTCTGCTATAACTTTTATGACCCGGACAAGTTCCTCTCCTGCAAACTGAAACCTGTGAAAAAGGTATCCAACTCACAAATTGCCTTTTTAAAAAAATTAAGGCATGAATGACTTTCTTAATCTTTGTTTTCTTGTTTGGATTTGTTTTGGCAGTTCACTCTATTAAAACTGCCGAGAAAGAAGATGTGACGAAACCAAGGTATATGAAATTTCCTATCTTCTTACTTTGATGAGTCTTTTCCTTTTGTGTTGATTATAGATTCTTGTTCTATCTAAGGGTTTTTTACTTTGCTGAATGTTTCTCAGACTAATAGAGGAGCTTTCTAATGTTGGTAGTGAGACCCAAGCACTTCTGTAATAATTGACTTGAGTGAATATATAAGTGGATATATATTAAAAAATACCATTTATCGTAAACTAGTAAGCAATTACTTCAATTTTCTAAATAAATATAACAGTGATGTCAAAAAAAAAAATGAATATAACAGTTGATCTGGACCTCAACATGATATCCCTATTTTTAACAATGCAGACTAGTAAGCGATTATTTCAATTTTCTTTACATTGGGTCGCATATAGTACTTAAGACCTGGAATTGCCTTCCATCCATAATACCAGTTTTTTAGCTGGTAAAGATAATTCAATATTAATCAATAAATTTATTCAAATTCTGGTAATAATATTTTTTTTGAACAACAAGAATAGTTAAAACTCATTACACATGATCTTTCTAGGGGATCAGGATCACATAATTAATGTATGAAGGCGTATCTGACAAAATATTCGGTTATTTTTGGTTGTTTTTTTTTCTCTATTTCTTGTCATACTAGGTCATCTATACTAGTATTTTTGCAACACGTTGGTGACGGGTGGGTAAAAATACTTCTGGGTTAATCGGATATCCGACCTGTTTTCTTAAATTCCTTCACAAAAAATTTGTTGGGTCGGGTTATATTTAACCCAACTCATACACCGGATATTTCATATTTAATAATTTAGATATTTAGAAGATTTGATTAAGATTTAGAATTATGATTCTCCTATCATATTTGTTTGATTTATTTTTAACTGTTTTGAATCATCATATAATACATAAAGTAAAAAAAAAATCATTTTTTCTGCATATACTGTGATTCGAAATTTTAAAAACGGACATATATTATCCAATTGACGAAAATGTGTGTTCAACGTTCTACATCGATTAAAATATTTAGACAATGATTCAGAATCATATCATAAATAAGATCAACATTAATAAAATAAATGAGTTTTTTGGCCGGACGGGTTTGACGTGACGGGTTTTTGAATCAACAATAATAAAAAGATTAAAATATCATTAATCTGCCGCTTCAATACGGATTAAATCCTTATTTTTTTTAATACCACCAATATTAGACATATTAAATCAGTCTCATTTAGAAAAATGTATAAAACCAAAAATTGTCCGGTGGTATAATGTTACTTAATAAAAATATTTATAAAATTTTAAAATATCATTAACATGCCGCTTTAATACATATTAAATCTTCAGTTTATTAAAATATAAATGTCTTAGAGAATGATATGATTTATAAATTTTTTATATATAATAAATAATCATTAAATTTTAAAATAAAAACAAATCACGGGACGGGTTAAGAAATTACGGAACGAGTTATATTTCGGAAAGGATTTATATGGCGGACGAATTTGAATCAATATTTATATACCGCTTTAATACGGGTTAAATCCTCAATTTATTAATAATTGTCTCGTGGATTTGTGGTATACCGTTATTTAATAACAATTGTAAACTATAATTTAAATAAATATGTTATAACGAGATACAATTTACAAAATATTTTTATACAAACTTTAAAATTAAATCATCCCGCGGTGTACCGCGGGTTAAAATCTAGTACCTCATTAAAAAAAAACAACAAGAAATACATATAAGCAGCACACTACTTAGTGAAAGGCATACCTTTTAAATTCCATGATTACTGCATAGTTTTTTAGATTTGAGGATTTAGAAATAAAAAATCATTGAGAGACATCTTTTAATTTCTCCCAAGAGTAAGGAGCCTTTATAAAAATCATAAATAAATAAAAAATCATTGTGAGGCATTTATACAAAATAAACTTCCGTTTCCCCTCTCCGGTTTCCAGCAAGCTTCGCATATTTTGTTATTTTCCCCGCTCATTTGCATTTTAGTGTACACATTATAATATCCAAAAATAAGATAATAATAGGTGACATATTTGGTATTTACAGTGTTCAAGAAAGCGTCCTAGGTGGCCGCTTAGGCGTCGCCTAGGCGCTCGGCGGAGGGGAGCCGATTGGATTTGGCTATAGGCGTTGATATTGGGCGGAGCTGGAGATTTGGCGGATTCAGCAGCTTTAAATCGGATTCGGCGGTCTAGGCGTTTAAGTTTTAACGTTTCTTTTATGAAAAATTGGACTGAGTCACGAACTTTTTCCTGGAAAAAACCATAATTCTAATGGCCGCCGCACACAAACCCTAATCTTCGAAGAAGATGACAATGTGTATATGCGATTACTACCCACGTGAGCTAATTGAGTCTCTAATGGGCTTCTTTGAGCCCAATAAGTTACGTTTTTTAGTACAGTTTTTTATTTTAACAATGATTTATTCAATAAAAATGACACATAGACAAAATAATATTACAATTATAAGATTGTGTTATATTTTTTATTTTTATTTTAAAACATCTTAAATAATAATTTCATTTTAACCAACAATTGTAAACTTAAACTATATATTATATATATTATATATTTTTATTATATAAAACGCCTAAAATTCGCCTAGACTCCGATTAAGCGTTCTAGGCGCTAGGCTCTCTGTGACCGCCCGCTTAGCGCCTAGCGCTTTCTTGAACACTGGGTATTTATATTGTTTGCCTTGGTACCAATTTTTCATGAATATGGTTCCCGTAAAAAGTTACGACCTTGTCTTGTGAAAAAAATGCAAAAAAAATGTTACTATTATGCCCTAACGAAAGCAAAGGTTGGTACTCGGTAGTCGCTGGATCAGACATCTGAGATTCTGAGTAAGGGAAAAAAACTAACTTTTTAGATCTAGGGTTTCGCTTCTTCCGCGAGCTTAATCGTCGGCCGAGGGCGTGCTCAGGCGTATCAGGAGTGGGCAAGATTCCTTCTTCGTCGGCGGCGGTGTGGATTCCCCCATTGATGTAGCTGTGGTTCCGGTCTGGCGGTGGAGGAGCTTGGTGGGATTTCCGGTTGAGGACGCTGGAGATCTGCCATGGAGTCTTCTCGAGGTTCAGCCGTCCGGCGGGTCACTGCGGCTATGGCGGAAGTCGGTGGGGGACAGGAGGGTTTCGCCGAGTCGTCACGGTGGTTAGCAGTAGATCTCTGTGATCTTAGACGGCTGCTGCGGAGGTCAGGTCCATGGTGGTTTGTCTGAGCCTACAACCTCTGGATCTACCGCAGTTGGCTTCCACCGGACCGAATTGAAGGTCTTCTTGCTCGGAGGGGATGGAGGGTTTCGGATATGGGAAGAGAGGATAGATCCGAGCTTGTTGGGTTGCTAGGTCGGGATCCGACAACGTGGAGCCGGTAAGTCGGAGAGTTGGGCATCCTGGGAGGTCTGTTGCGGGTCAGGAAGGTCGTCGGAGAGAATTTAGTGGTGGGAACCGGATTCTCTTGCCGTTGGGTTTCGATCCTTCGCTCAGCCGCAAAGCAGTGGACCTTGAATCCGCCGGAATTGGTGCTTCTGACTCTCTGCTTCCGGTAATCAACACGATCCGAGTCTCATTTTCTGGTTTTCCGGCAACGTTTGCCGTTTTGCTCCATTTTGTAACTGTTACGCTTGTGTAAGGCCCAAAAGCCCAGCCCATTTTGGGATTTTATTATAAAATTATATATTAAAAAAAAAAAAAAAAAAAAAAAAAAAAAACTAACTTTTTTCCACAATTAATTAAATAAATTATCAGTTAACAAGAAATGAAATAAATTATCAAACCTTACAAAAAATAAGAATATTAAAATATATTTGTGAAACTAACAAGAAAGCGGATAATTATGATGATTTCCTTCAGTCTAACTCTATACACAAGTAATATAAATTAATTTTGCTAAATATTATCTGCTTTTGGGCGAATTTCTATATTAATATAACAGTTAATATGGACCTCGACATAATATTTATTATAGTCTAGATTCATAGTATTTGAATCAATGGTATTTAAGCCAAAGTATCCATAGAATAGACTAAAATCATGAATGGCATTTAAACCAACAATTCCAATTGGGAATATAGTTGGTGAAAACTTGTAGAATGTGTTATTTTGTCAATTGAACGGTGAGGAAGAATTACTAGATACGGATTACGGAAGAAAAAAACTAATACAAAAATAACACTAGCTAAAACTCATTATTACACATGACTTTATAGGGTATTCACATTTATTTTTGGTAAAATAGAAATGAAGTAAAAAAAAATCATGTGTAATGAGTTTTCCCTTACTATCTCTTACAAAATAAGTCTTCCAATTTATTCTATTTTTTATTTGTTCTCTCTCGTACGAGAACTTTTTTCAAATAGACAAAATTGGAACGATCCATACCGATTTTGTTTTTTTTTCCCTCTAGTTTTTGTCACACCTCATTTAAACAAGAATTAGGATTCAAATACCATGATTACTTCATAGATTTTTATATTATGATTCAGATTTGAGAATTCGGATTAGAATTTTGAAGTGGATTATAAGATTTAAGTTTCTCTTAAAATAATTAGCATGCATGTTATTTGCATTAGAATTGTTCTCCTTCATTTACTTTATATTCAAGCACACCCACAATTAGTAATTCGGATAAGTAGCATCTTATTTTACTATATCACATGTTACTTATAACTCATTTTCTACTCGAGTGCTTTATATACGAGAAAAGAGTTTTTTTTCACAGGAAAAAAATAAAAGGTTACTAAGAAAAGGTAATCTTTAATGAAATGTTAATAATTCTTTGCTTAACAATCAAGTTTTTTGTTTTATTATTTGTGGGCTCCAACAAAAGACAGGTTGTTATTTGTCAAGGTTGAAAAGAAAATGCTCACGGTTAATATTTTGCCGAGAATATAATTTGACTATATTATAAAAACTCACCAAATCCTCACATTGCTCACTCGCATATTCAAAGCTTTTATATTTGATAATAATTCAAATAATGTTCCCCTGTAGTAACATCAAATTTAACATGTTAAAAAAAAAATATTCCAAATGAACTATGTATCTTGTATTTTTTCATTATTGTTAGTTTGTTACATTTGTTGTGTGTCTTGATAAAAAGTCCCTAAAAAGTTGACTATTCAATAGATGATAAATTATTGCAGCCCAGCCCCATGTATTGTTTTTGGGTTTAGCCTGATTACATTTTAACTAGCAAAAGCCACATAACAAGAACAATTAAATAAAATCTACAGCTTACATAGTTACAACCAAAATTTTAGAGCAAATAATCTACATGTAAAGCCCAACCAATCACCCATTAAGTATTTCACTAGTGATGAAAATATATTTCAAATTCATATTCTTTTTTTGTTCTGATTTTGCCGTATTTATTTAATGGACAAGGTTTCGATTGGGTGGTAGTTGAACGAAACAAAAAGTATGGGGCGAAAAGAGGAAAATAAAGAAACAAAAGGACCATTGAGTAAAATAAATGAGATATTATTATAGAGAGATCTAGAAGACGGGGAATCTAAAATCACTCCCCCAAAAGCGAAACAGAAAATTGAGAAGAAGAAAAAAAATTAGGGTTCTTCATCAACAATAAGCGATGGGTGACTTTGAAGGTACGATTTGAATTTCGTTTATCTAAAGTTGAAAGGTTTATAATTTGGTCTCGCCCGATTACAATGTCTCAGGCTGGACTAAGTGGCTCGTACCAGGGTTTTTGCTGTGGAAACCAGAGGATCCTGGCTATGAGAGACCTGCGTACAGGGATTGGACCGAGGAGGAGGATGAGCCTAAGTACTCACCAGAGGAAGAACTTGCCTTGCTCGACAAACAAATCCTTGCAAGCGATGTATGTTACATTATTTCTATCCTTTTGGTTAATAATGAGCTCTATAGATAAATTTGTGAAATTAATTGAGAGGTTGTGAAACGTCAACAGGGGTTTGATATCGACTACACACACTTCCGGTGTGTCTTCAACTACCATCTTGCTGATCTCGACTCAGATGAATTCGCTGAGGAGCCAACAGAAACCACTAGGGATTTACTCGAGAGGCTCTCTAGGAAGGCCCTTGATGACCACAATCTCGAATATGTGAGAACTAACCTATATATATATATGATCAAATGTTGCATCTATGTATGATCGATTCTTTTCTTCTCTCTTTGTTTGGAAAAACAGGGAACAGAATTTGAGTTTGTCAAGGTTGTGAAAGCCAACTTTCACTGGTGTTGTGCATATATGTTTCTCATAACATTTGAAGTTGTTGATCCTTATGATAACTTGATTAAACTCTTCCAAACAAGGGTTCGCTACGAGACAGATATCGTGACTGAGTATGTCTTCTGCAGGCCGAAACCCAATCAAGGAGGTATCTCTAATCTTGTTTTGTTTTCCATCTGTATAGTTGTTGTTCGTCGTTGTGGAATATATATTTGCCTCTTTCACCAATCACATGGATTAAGCTTTTCGTGGCTATTTCCTTAGTAGATTTATAGTATTTGGATTTGTTTTGATAGTGGAATGCATTGGTGTGAAGAACAATGATGATGTTGGGAAAGATGTCCAAAACAATGTCAAGAAACAAAAGGTAATCGAAAGATCTGCAAGAGTGTTTTCTTTACTTTGATGTCAAGATTCCTTGTATGTATGGATGGTTTTTAACAGTGATCGCCTTCTCTTTACAGATTGGAGTATGAGCTTCTATATGCCACAAGGAGTGAGAACCGAGAGATGATAATTATCATTTCCCACTTAAAAGGTCCGTTTTGGTGAAATGATATAGTTGCTTGACAATCAAGTTTTTGTTTTATTATTTGTGGGCTCCAACAAAAAGACAGGTTGTTTCTTGTAAAGGTTAGGGAAAAGAGAAAAGATTTTGCCGAGAATATCATTTGACCATTATAAAAGACTCACCAAATCAAAGTCACGTGCTCACTCGCATATTCAACAACTTTATATTTATTATTCAAATTATGTTCCTCGTAGTAACACCACTTTCTGGTTATTCTTCTTTATCTTAAATAAGAAGTTGGACGTTAAGAAAAAAATAAAAAAATAATAAGAAGTTAAACGTTTGGGTCTTAACATTCATATTTTTCTACCATCAGATTTCGAATTTAGTAATAGAAATTTAACATACGTAAAAAGACACAAGAGTTAACCAAATGATATTGTTTCTTTTTCATTGTTGTTAGTTTGTTACATCTTTTTCTTTTGGATAAAAAAAGTTTACTATTTAATGTATGAGAAAGAGATTGTTACAGCCAGCCCATGCTTGTTTGGGTTTAGCCCAATTACATTTTAACCAAGTAGAAGTTACATAATAATTAACAAGAACAATTAAGTCCTTACAACCATATTTTTTGCTTCATCGAAGAAAGTGAAAACTGAAAACTTATTTCCATGTAGAATCGAGCGTGTGGTCAATTCAGAGATCCTTGGGCAATCACTGCTTAGTCAATTTGTCAAAAAAAAAAAGCGGAGATTAAAGTAAAATTTTTTACATGTCCTCGATAAGTTACAAGGTATCCCAACAACTTGTTGAGATGCTAGCAATCAAAACCTATACTTTTTTTGTATCAATAGATTTGTGTTGCGGCATGTCCCCTAAGCAATTCAAGTCATCTAGGACTCAAATAGATAGAAAAATAACAGAGCATCTCTCGGTTCCCACACCTTGTGGCATATAATAAAAGCTTCTACTCCAGTCTGTGAAGAGAACAAAATCAATGTAAAAACCAACCATACAAGTTATTATCATATGTAAAAGCCCATGTAGATATATATATATATATATATATATATATATCAGTACCTTTGTTTCTTGATATCTTTCTCGACATCTTTCTTGATAATTCCAATGCATTCCACTATCAAAACAATCCAAAATACTAAAGTCTCAAGAAAATAGAGATGGAAGCTCACAAGCTAAATCCAAATCCATCTTCCATGGTGAAAGAGAAAAAATATTCCACAATGAATCCATAAAAACAATTACTTTTGTCATATGGAAAACAAAACAAGATTAGAGATACCTTCTTGATTGGGTTTCGGCCTGCAAAAGACATACTCAGTCACGATATCTGTAGCGTGGCGAACCCTTGTTTGGAAGAGTTTTATCAAGTTATCATAAGGATCAACAACTTCAAATGTTATGAGAAACATAAACGCACAACACCAGTGAAAGTTTGCTTTCACAACCTTGACAAACTCAAATTTTGTTCTCTGTTTTTCAAACAAAGATAGAAAAGAATCGATCATACATAAATGCAAAGCACAAGGCATATACATATAACATATAGAGGTTAGTTCTCACAGATTCTTGATTGTAGTCATCAAGGGCCTTCCTAGAGAGCCTCTCGAGTAAATCCCTAGTGGTTTCTGTTGGCTCCTCAGCAAATTCATCTGAGTCGAGATCAGCAAGATGGTAGTTGAAGACACACCGGAAGTGTGTGTGGTCGATATCAAACCCCTGTTGACGTTTCACAAACTCTCAATTAATTTCACAAATTTATCTATAGAGCTCATTATTAACCAAAAGGATAGAAATAATGTAACATACATCGCTTGCAAGGATTTGTTTGTCGAGTAAGGCAAGTTCTTCCTCTGGTGAGTACTTAGGCTCATCTTCCTCCTCGGTCCAATCCCTATACGCAGGTCTCTCATAGCCAGGATCCTCTGGTTTCCACAGCAGAAACCCTGGTACCAGCCACTTAATCCACCCTGCAGAGACGTTGACATATCATTGGAATTGATCGGGAGAGAGTATATATAAACCCTAACTTTTAGGGAAACGAATTTCGAAGCGTACCTTCAAATTCACTTATCGCCCTGTGTTACGTTGATGAACCCTAAAACTTATGGCCCTGAATGTTTACTAGTTTTTAAGTGGTTTTTGGTTTTTAGATTTTGGTTTTTGGATTTTGGTTTTTAATATTTTGGTTTTTGGTTTTTTGTTATAAATATAAAAATTAATTTAAAAAAATCAAAAAATCAAAAAAAGAAACATGATTACGTTGAAAACTAAAATTTTCCCCAAAATCCTCAAAATTGTGGTTTTTAGTTTCTCTTTAAAATTTTGAGAAACCACTCAAAAACTAGTTTTCCTAAATTTTAGGGAATCTAATTTTTTAAAATCTTGAATGGTGAAAAAATAGATTTTTCCATAAACAAAAACCAAAAACTACTTAAAAACTAGTAACCATTCAAGGCCTATAAGTAATGTCCTAACTATTTCCCATGTATTTCACTCAAGTCCCTTTTATTTATTGATCTTTCGTCTTTTGCCCTCGTATTGTTTTGTTTTTTGTTAGACTACCCCATCAAAATAACAATACATTAGAATGCCAAACGATTGTGGCATGAATAAGTGATTTTCAATTCTCAAATCTTCTAGTATATATTAAGAGAGAGTTTTTTTGTGATAATGTGTCAATAATTAACGATGATATTTGTCTGTCTATTTATTTGAAGTTCTTTATTTTTAATATATGTAGTACTTCTTGAAACTCGCATTTTTTTCCTCATACAAATTATTGTAATGGTATAGTGAGTGTTATAGTATACAATTTCGATTTTGCTTATTCGGTTCTTTTCATAATCTTGAAAAGGGAACTTCGGATTGAGCTAGAGGAGTCGACGTGAAGGAGAAGTTAAGTTATAAGGGTTTGAATAATGGTGATCATTAAACAATAAGTAGAGAGAAAGAGAAAAACAATTAAGTATTTACACGCCTGTGTCTTGTGACTTGGGTTATAAACAATCAACATTTCTAAGCGATTAATTTATGAAAGTACCAAAAATTCCATTGAAATGGAACTTCGACTGAAAAAAAAAATTATGACACTAAATATTTGTTGACTATTAATATAACTTTATAAACAAATGAAAACACAACACCTAATATTATTTGGTTTAGACTATCTAAATCCTTGTTGGCAAAAGACTATCTAAATCCTTATATATCTAAAAAAAATTAGGAAATTAAATCGAATTACACACTAAGAACAACAACAAACAAACTTTAAATACCCCACTTTTCCCTCTAATCCTCGTGGATTTGGTCATCACTCGTTATCCACTAATCCCAAAAATAGCAAATGAATCATCTCTACAAGATCTTTTTTTATTTGGTCAAAAAAGGTGTTAAAGTTTGTTCAAACAAGTTAGTTATATAAACCCTCACGAATTCAAGAAACCAAACAAACGAAAAAAAGCTTTCGCTTTCTCTTTCTCTACCTTTTTCCTTAATTTCACATTTGCGGCGTCGTTCTTATCTACTCACAAGAAAGCAACCGATCAATAACTCCCAAATTAAAGAAAGACTCAAACTTTGTTCTCTCTCTTTCATAAATAGTGAAGAAAGCTTCGATTTTGGGAAGTGGGTTTTTGTAAAAATGGGTTCTTCTGTGGAACAGAACATTTTGGTGACTGGTGGTGCTGGATTCATTGGAACACATACTGTTGTTCAGCTTTTGAATCAGGGTTTTAAGGTTACGATCATTGATAATCTTGATAACTCTGTTGTTGAAGCTGTTCATAGGGTTAGGGAACTTGTTGGTCCTGATCTCTCTACCAAGCTTGAATTCAATCTGGTTAGTACCCAAAAAAAAGCTTCCATTTTTATATCAATATGGCTATTTTTGGAATCAAGATTGTATTTTTTATCATAGATTCTTAGTTTAGTAATCTTTTGGCTTGTTAGATTTTGAATGTTTTGATTAATTGCAGGGTGATCTAAGAAACAAAGGAGATATTGAGAAACTCTTTTCTAATCAGAGGTATTGTGAAAATTTTTGAAACTGAGATTATGCAAATTGTTTATTCATGTGAATTGATTTTAATATTATGATTCTTTTGTGAGGGGAAACAGATTTGATGCTGTGATTCACTTTGCTGGTCTTAAAGCTGTGGGAGAAAGTGTTGGAAACCCTCGTCGTTACTTTGATAATAACTTAGTTGGAACTATCAATCTATATGAAACCATGGCAAAATACAACTGCAAAATGGTAAAGATCAAGATCCTTCACTTTTGAAAATGTGTTTCTTGTTCTAGTTTAGTTACCAAGTTGTTCTGATTCTGGAATTTTTTACACAGATGGTGTTTTCGTCGTCTGCAACGGTTTATGGCCAACCTGAAATAGTCCCATGTGTGGAAGACTTTGAGTTACAGGCTATGAATCCTTATGGTCGTACTAAGGTACTTCAGACCTCAAATCTGTTTTGTTCTGTTTTGTGTTCATAATCTTGAAAGTTATATCATTTATGACTGAGATTTTGAAAACATTTGATCTATTTGTGTAGCTGTTTCTTGAAGAGATAGCTAGAGACATTCATGCTGCAGAACCAGAATGGAAGATAATTCTTCTGAGGTACTTCAATCCGGTTGGAGCTCATGAGAGTGGAAGAATTGGAGAAGATCCAAAGGGCATACCGAATAATCTCATGCCTTATATCCAACAAGTTGCGGTTGGACGATTACCTGAACTCAATGTATATGGACATGACTATCCTACTATGGATGGGAGCGCGGTATAACATCGATAATACCGTTTCTTTATGCGAAAATTCGGTTTTCATTTCTGATGATAGATTGATAAAATAAGGTACACTTGACACTTGCAGGTCAGAGACTACATACATGTAATGGATTTAGCAGATGGCCATGTGGCTGCATTAAACAAGTTGTTTTCAGACTCAAAGATTGGTAAAATCTCTATACGACTTTTAACTGTTTGTTTTTTATTTGATGGAGTCAATCAAAGATTAGAGTTTTAATAATGTTTTGTATGTGTTGGTGTGTCATCTTAATCTTAGGCTGTACTGCTTATAATCTTGGGACTGGTCAAGGAACTTCTGTCTTAGAGATGGTTTCTGCTTTTGAAAAAGCTTCTGGCAAGGTAAGATTTTCTCTTTCTCTAATTGCTCATGAATTTTGTGTGAATGAGACCGAAGATTTGGTGTCTGAAAATGCTCTTAAACCATTTGTTTTGCAGAAAATCCCTATCAAGCTATGTCCAAGAAGAGCTGGAGATGCAACAGCTGTTTATGCTTCAACTGAGAAAGCTGAGAAAGAACTCGGATGGAAGTAAGTCATCGGTTTTATACCACTTCCGCATTTAAATCTTTTTCGATCGGATATGAACTCGACTTAAGTTAAATTTCTATGCAAAGTTCATGTTCATGGCCTCATGGATATAAAACTGACTAGATATATGGTTTAACAGAGAAGTATATTGAATCTTGACATGAATTTCAAGAACCATACTTTGAATACTTTTCAGAAACTTTATCTTTATCTGTTGACTTATTATGAACAAAAGATTAATTCTTTGTTTTTCTTTCTTAGGGCAAAGTATGGAGTTGATGAGATGTGCAGAGATCAATGGAACTGGGCAGATAAGAATCCATGGGGTTTCCAGAAAAAGCCTTGAAATGTTTTTTTTTTTTGCTTCACCACTCAAATATAAAGAAAAATATATATATAGATGTCGTTTTATTTTCCTGCATCTATTTTATTTCTCTCTTCAAAAAAAGTTGTATTGAACTCTTCATCTTTCGGTTAATAAAGTATAAAGTTTATCTACATTGCGTAATACTAACTAGTCGTTATAATCAACGAATCATTCATTTAGTATAAGCAGAAGCGTTCTCAATTCAGGATTGAATAAGAGAGAAAAAGATGTTAACTTGTTGAGCAAGTAAGAACCAAAACATGTTAACAAGAGTCAACAACAACAGAACATACAGACTCCAAAGAAAAAGCAACTAAAATGTGTAAACATATAACAAGCAATGTAAAACTACAAATTGATTAAATGTCGAACCCTTTTTTTTCCTGGGTTCCTCAGCTGCTAATGATACAGATATTCGCATATTTGCAAGTTTTCTCTTCTTACTGTTCTAGACTTCCTCGCCTTCTTCGTAGTTGCTACTCTTGAGGATGTTGTATTTGCAGAGGGGACAAGTAGCGTTTATGTAAAGCCATTTGTCCACACAACCACAATGGAAATGGTGGCCACAAGGAAGTTCTCTAAGCTCTGTCTCATCTTCATAAGCCGAAAGACAAATGCAGCATTCCTGTAGATTGACAAAAGCAAAATCCGGCTTTGTTCGTCAAAATCTAAACAGAGTATAGCCATAACATAATATGCAGAGATTTACAGGTTACTAATAGAAAGAAGAGTGATTTAGAGTGTTACTTACTGCATCCTCATGAGGAAGAGTATGTTCGACGGGTGAATCTGTACCACATTCAGTCATCACTCCTCCTGAATCTCCTTGTTCTTCATCAACAGTGTGTTTCACAGAATCACCAACCTTTCGGAATTTGAATTTAGTAAGTTGGTCAATGTCTTCTTTCGAAGCTCCTTCCTGCATTTTCAACAGATTTTCATTAGAACAAATCCAACTTTCTTGGAGATAACAAAAGAAACAGGTTATAAGAAGCTACCTGTTCTGCAACGGCATATAGAACTGCAATGATGCAAGGCAAGCAGCAGCAAACAGCAATGCCGATAACACAGGCCAATGCAACGCAGAAAACAACAAAGAACACATCGAAACCAAGAAAGACTATACATAACCTATAAAAACAAAGACATCCAAACAAATTTAAGGAGCTTGAACACTTAAAAACACTCCCGAGAATGTAAGAGATATGAAAGAAGTGAACAACAAACCAATAAAGCTGAGGGGATCCTTGCGCTAACTCTTGGCCACCAGAAGATACCCAGTAGAATCCAATAACCCACCATATAAATGAGATCATCGTATTTGCAGATTCTAGATGCTTAGCAAAACTGGTTACAGAAAACACTGCTTTAGCCAAAATTCAAATCACATATAAGACAATATCTGCATCACAATCACTAAAGCTTTAAACCAATATACCTGTTGTTTTCATTCTCTAATTGACCTAGCTCCAAGTAACGATCATCTGAGTTTCTACTCAAACCCAAACCATCTTCTTCCTCCATAGAAGAAGAGCTAGATCTTGGACTCACATCTCTTCTTCTTCTACTATTCCTCCTACGATACTCAACACAAACACAAACCATATGCATCATACATTGCAACCCATACCCAATAATCCAAACCCTAAGAGGCATATTCGGATTCTCATCGCTGCTAAGTACCAAAACAGCTGTAGCAACGGCGACAAAAGCAAGATTCCAAACGAAATCCAAAACCACTACAGGCTTCGAATAAGCCCAATCGCTTTGTCTCTCTTCAAGCTGCTCAGCCGCAGCTTCACGAACAAGCATCGATGGTTCTCTCATCATCATTCGCCCGCTACTTGCATGTCTTAGTAACCTCGCCGCTTCTCTTAACCCTTGTCTCCTCACCGATCTCCTTCCTCCTCCTCCTCCGCCGTCGGTTAAAATCAAAGGCGTTGCTTCCGTTGTCGTCTCTGATGACATTCTCTCTCTCTCTCTTCAAAGTCTCTTCCTTTCTTCGAAATTTCAAAAATTGATATTGAATTGATGAAATTGGTGAAGCTTTACGCCATTAAATTGGGGCAATTTCAATCTCAGAGACAAATTCGGATTTGCTAGGGTTTCGATTCGAACAGAGAGAGAGAAAGAAGATGAGTCGGACAAATCGGAAAACGTGATGTTTGAAAAATGATACAAAAAATCAAAATTTTAATTTATTTAATGTCTCCTCAAATGTCGACCAGAGAAATTAGCGGGACTTATATGTAATATTGAATTTTTCTCAGTGGCTAAATGGTAAAATTACAGTAACTTGGTCCAAAATGAGGATGGGTAAGTAAGAAACTGAACCAAACCAAAATAAACCGAACTTTATTAATTTGAACCAAATCCGAATTTGTGCAGCCGAATCAAAAATTAACAGATAAAACTCAAATCCAAACCAATTTGGTTTAATTCATAACTAAATAAACCGCATATTTAATTTATCGAACCGAACCAGGCATATATGTAATAACGAGTATTTAAAGGCGGGGGCTATATAACTAAATTAATATACTTTGTTGCAGAATTCGGATTCTTGTATTTTTATAGGCCCTTTAATGCAAACTAATCGTATAATAAAACTAAAACCCTTAATCGGATCCTCCACCAATTTTCCCTCCAAACCAGAGAACCCCCAAATCTCACCGGTCGGAGATTCCTTCTCTTCCGACTGATAATGGCGGCGTCTTCTTCTTCAACCTCTTCCGACGGCGGATACAATAACCCATGGGTGGAGAAATACAGGCCGAGCAAAGTAGTTGATATCGTTGGCAACGAAGACGCCGTCTCCAGACTTCAAGTCATTGCTCGCGACGGCAACATGCCTAATCTTATCCTTTCCGTGAGATTCACTCTTCTATTTACACTCTTTGATTTAACCCTCCTCGAATTTGCGAAAAAGTTTTAGGCTTGATGAAAATTTTCTCAATTAGGGCATTTTGGGTTTGTGTCATGTGTAGATTTCAGGATAAAGTTTTGATTTTTAGGGTTTTTGATCAATTTCTATGTTTGTTAAAGTTAATGTAGTGTATTGTAAGTTTGATTTATAAGTGGATTCTGTGTTAAGTATTTACTTGTGGAGAGACTTGATATATGATTTAGTGGTATTTTCTGTTGTATATCCTTAGGGTCCTCCTGGAACAGGTAAAACCACAAGCATTTTGGCTCTTGCTCACGAGCTTCTTGGCCCGAATTATAAGGAGGCTGTTCTTGAGTTGAATGCATCTGATGATAGGTATGTTCGTATGTGAGGTCAATCTTTTAAATATGGGATGTTGTTCCTTCTTCGTTCGTTGTTTGGTTAAATATATTCCGTGTGGTATTGTGTTCTGTTATGGTTGTAGGGGTATTGATGTTGTTAGGAACAAGATTAAGATGTTTGCGCAGAAGAAAGTAACACTTCCTCCCGGGCGTCATAAGGTTGTCATTCTAGATGAAGCTGACAGGTTAGTACTGCTAAGTTTGTGACTTTTACTTGATTCTTTCTTCTCAAGTTGAATTGTTTCAGTTAAGTTTTTTTCTGACTCATTGCGTCTTTCTGATTCCGGTTTGTAAAATAGCATGACATCTGGAGCACAACAAGCATTGAGGAGAACGATTGAAATCTATTCGAACTCTACGCGGTTTGCACTTGCTTGCAATACATCCGCCAAGATTATTGAGCCCATTCAGAGTAGATGTGCCTTAGTTCGATTCTCTAGACTATCTGATCAGCAGATTCTAGGACGTCTCTTGGTGGTGGTGGAAGCAGAGAAAGTATGGATTTGTCACTTTTCTTTCATTCGACATGTTTTACTTACTGCAATTTTGAAAATATTCTAATTGCCTGTGTTTTAAATCTCTCAAGGTTCCGTATATACCTGAAGGCCTTGAGGCGATAATCTTTACAGCTGATGGTGACATGAGGCAAGCTCTGAACAACTTGCAAGCCACATTCAGCGGGTTTCGGTTGGTCAACCAAGAAAACGTCTTCAAGGTTCGAAACAAAACCTTAATTCACTTAGCTTATGAAACACATTGGTTTCATATCATCAATCAAAGATTTCCTCACTTGTCTTCCCCTTTCTCTTTTCCAGGTCTGTGACCAGCCTCACCCGCTTCATGTCAAGAACATTGTTCGTAATGTGTTGGAAAGTAAGTTTGACGATGCTTGTCACGGGTTAAAGCAGCTCTATGATCTGGGCTACTCTCCAACCGACATTATCACAACGCTTTTCCGTATAATAAAGAATTACGAAATGGCTGAGTATCTGAAACTCGAGTTCATGAAGGTATACATCTGATTCTCCTTGACAACTCAAAACATCCAAACTTTCGTCTAACACCAATGCTTTTCTTCAGGAAACTGGATTTGCGCATATGAGAATCTGTGATGGAGTTGGATCATATCTTCAGCTATGTGGTCTTCTGGCTAAATTATCCATTGTTCGTGAAACAGCGAAAGCACCTTAAGTTAGGTAACTTCCAATCTTCCACTCATCTGTAGTGATGAACCGTTGACTGGTTTATGTTTAAACCGATTTGGTTAACCCTCGTTGTTTGAGAATTTGGATAGATCTTGGAACTTCCTTGCTGCTTTACTCTGTTTTCTAGATTTGAATTGCTTGTGAATGTTTCTGAATATTATCTTGAAGTTTAATCCTAACCAATTTGGTATATCGGTATTCTTACAAATAGAAAATCTGGATTTCGGCGGATTTTTTTAACAAAATATCAACACGTTATTTTATATTTTGTTTAAATCACACAAATGAAAAAGAACCAATACACAAACTATTTTACACATTACATGAGGAAAAAAAAAAGTCCATATAGTCTCCACAAGTATGAGAGATGAATTTTATTGGTAAAATGTTGAAATTATTTGTGTAATTCGATAACACTATATGAGAAGGCATGACAAATGATTTCACAACGAAGAAAACCCGAATCAGAGGCTAGAGTCTCAAATTGTGAAAGAGTCCTCTCCTTACCGCCTGAGCTTTGTGTTAACATCAACATGTCCATGGCTAACACAATGTTAGAAGAAACGTCGTTGATCTTTGGTTCCACCGGCTTAACCATCTCGACTATTATCACCTTTCCTTTATCGGAAAGACTTTTCCAACAGTTTTTTAGAATCTTTACACAATTTTCGTCAGTCCAATCATGTAGTATCCACTGTCAATCATTTCATTTCCTATAGTTACTATATGGTTGACTATGGAGTTATAGACGTAGTAATATGTACTAATTACCTTCATGAAGATGGCATCTCCTTTTGGAATTTCTTTAAACATATCTCCTGAAACATGCTCCACTCCTATATATATAACCCATGTTAATGAAGTGCTATTGAGCAAGATAAATAATTTTAAGAGTTATAACTTGCTAATTTTCTTACTTAAGTTATACCTCTGTGAAGAGGAGCATGGACTAAAACCGATGCTAGATCGAAATTGACGCCTTTAATATGAGGATACTTGGAAGTCACTAGACCTATGACGGTTCCAATTCCTCCTCCCACATCCACCAAAGTATTCACATCTTCGAATCCTTTGTAAACTTCTAAAACCTTCTTCATAATCAATCTGGAAGCTTCTGACATTGCGCGGTTAAACATCTCAGCAAATTGTTCGTTCGAACCAATGTGTTCGAAAAACTTCATGCCATGAGCAGAGCTGAATGCATCTTTTCCTTCTAATATCACATCTTTGAGATGTGCCCTAGGAAAAATATATTAATCATTTTTAGTTAACGTTATGAGTATATATATATATATATATATATATATATATATATATATAAAGAGTATTTTGTGAATAATGAAGTAGGAAGTACCAACTCTTCAAACAGACTTCGCCTTGGAGTACCATGAACAAAGTGGCGAGAGACCCCGAGCCATCTCCACGGTTCAAGAAAAACGTGCAAACCGGTTCAGCTGCATAGACCCCCTCCGTCTTTCTACTTCCGATGTTCTCTCCGTTTTCTACCGTACGGTACTTCAAGATTGAGTGGCTGGCTAATAAAACCAGCATCCGATCCAGCAATACTGGTGCATCCGGATTGGTGGGCTTGGTTGGAAGGCCAAGAGCGATCTCAGAAGGCGAGAGCCACACGCCGTCATCTACAGAAGTGATCATGTCGATAATGCCAAGCTCCAAAGCGGCTTTGAGAACCATGGGGAAGGCCATGGCATGCAAGATCCTCTCCGCTTGCAAGCTCACCGTATCTTCATCAAAACGTTGTTCTTCTTTGATTAAATCCGGTTTAGGAATGGTGGTTAAGGAATGTTGAATATGGTTCGCCATTGTTATTGTTGGTTAAAAATTTGAGAAAGATTGTAAGAGAAAGTTGGTTTCAAGTTTCAACGTACTTACTGTCACTTTTTATACGGAGAAAGCTCACCAACATTATGCGTAATATTTTATTCCTAAATATTTAAATTAATGAGAATATTAATTACACGTATTATTATTGTAGAATTAATATTCGTGTGATGTCAAAAAAAAAAAAAAAAAAAAATATTCGTGTAATATTTAAAATGATTTAGGTGTACGAAGAATATATAGAGATTTGTTTTCAATTTTAGTGTGCGTTCATCAGTACAACTTTCCTCATTGAATGTGGATGTCGTGATCATACTCATTGAGTGTGAATCGTTGGTAAGTACAATATAGTATAATTTATGATTAATCTTTTCACAGTACTATAGTCTACATTAATTAACACTCCATTTTAAGACAAAGTGAATTTATATGCTTTGATGGATTCATTGATGCAACTATTTTTGTTTTGGTTTGAGGACACTTTTAAGATAACAAGCGAATGAAACTGAACTAAACTAGGGAACAACATGAAAAATTTCTGAATCGACCGTACGTGACCGATTGTATTCGGTAAATTACATTTTGTTTTAAAGGAATGAAAACAAATTTGAATATGGTATTGGTAGCTACTGAATCCGTTGATTACAACTTAAGATACGCATTCAACAATGTATGTAAAGGTAGGTACGAAATCGAAATCAACATTTAAGAAAATGGAGAAATAGGCTTGGTATGTGTTAATGAATGTTCAACAAACAACCAAGTTTTAGTGATATAAGTGGGCATACGTGTAGAAAGCATTTCAATTAGGAGTCTCCTATAATCCTCTTGGTGAGCAAGACACTTTCTAAATCTGTCTTTAGAATCTGTGATGGAGTTGGATCATATCTTCAGCTATGTGGTCATTGGCACTGCAAAGTCATCCAACGTATTTAAAACTAAAAGGGGTAATTATTTGGTGATATATTGACAATTGACATCTATGTAAAGTCTTAACAATTTGCACTAATTAATCAAAATTTACCCGGGGCATCTGCCCCCCACTTATAACATGTAGCTCCATACTTTAACCATGTGCTCTTGTTGTCAATTAATAAAAAAAATCGAAATGCATGGTCAACAGATCGCCAAACAATTCGCCCTCTGGATAACTTTTGCAGTGCCTAATTGTTTTTTTTTTTTTCAACTTGTTGTGCCACTTAAATAGCCACATTTATGTCCATATGGGCATGTTTTCCACCTTAGAAAGCATAGTTTTTCCAACAATTTTTTTAGAATTTTTACACAATCTTCGTCGGCCCAAATCATGTATTTATCCACTGTCGTTTAAAATGAATCATTTTATTTTGTAGTCAATATATGTGTAACCATGAAATTATATTTTTCATAAGAAGGGTTGTTATAGAATTTGTCTTTTTAACACTAAGAATGTCCTTTTATATTTGCAATGCATCATTTTAAATAAATTTCTAATTTTATCTATAATCTTTCAGCTTATTAATGGAGTAGAAATTCATAAATGTATTAAAGGTATAAGATAAACTTAAAAACTTTTAAATGTGTGAAAAAAATCGAAAACAACAATTTTGGGAAATAAAGATAGTATTTGTTATTGATGATAGAGAGGAATCTATTGTTATTACAGATGAATCAGAGTTTTTGTTGGTAAAATGTTGAACCTATTTGTGTAATTCGATAACATTATATGAGAAGGCATGACAAATGATTTCACAACGAAGAAAACCTGAATCAGAGGCTAGAGTCTCAAATTGTGAAAGAGTCCTCTCCTTACCACCTGAGCATTGTGTTAACATCAACATGTCCATGGCTAACACAATGTTAGAAGAAACGTCGTTGATCTTTGGTTCTACCGGCTTAACCATCTCGACTATTATCACTTTTCCTTTCTCGGATAGACTTTTCCAACAATTTTTTAGAATCTTTACACAATCTTCGTCAGTCCAATCATGTAGAATCCACTGTCAATCATTTATCCATTTCATTTTCTAGTTACTATATGGTTGACTAAGGAGTTATATACGTAGTAATAGGCACTTACCTTCATGAAGATGGCATCTCCCTTTGGAATTTCTTTAAACATATCTCCCGAAACATGCTCCACTCCTATTTATAACCGATTTTAATGAAGTCATATTGAGAAATAAGAGCTGTAACTTGCTAGTTTTATCACTTGCACGGTGTACCTTTATAAAGAGGAGCATGGACTAAAATCGATGCTAGATCGAAATTTATGCCTTTAATATGAGGATACTTGGAAGTCACTAGACCTATGACGGTTCCAATTCCTCCTCCCACATCCACCAAAGTATTTACATCTTTGAATCCTTTGTAAACTTTTAAAACCTTCTTCATAATCAATGTGGAAGCTTCCGACATTGCCCGGTTAAACATCTCAGCGAGTTGTTCGTTCGAACCAATGTATTCGAAAATCCTCATGCCATGAGCAGAGCTGAATGCATCCTTTCCTTCTAATATCACATCTTTGAGATGTGCCCTAGGAAAAATAAATTATTCTTTTTAGTTGACTTTACGTGTATATATATAGCACATTTTGTTGAAGTAGGACGTACCAAGTCTTCATACAGCCTTCGCTTTGGAATACCATGAACAAAGTGGCGAGAGACCCCGAGCCATCTCCGCGGTTCAAGAAAAACTTGCAAACCGGTTCAGATGCATAGACCCTCTCAGTCTTTCTACTTCCAATGTTCTCTCCGGTTTCTACCGTACGGTACTTCAATATTGAGTGGCTGGCTAATAAAACCAGCATTCGATCCAGCAATACCGGTGCCTCCGGATTGGTGGGCCATGTTGGGAGACCAAGAGCGATCTCAGAAGGCGAGAGCCACACGCCGTCATCTACAGAAGTGATCATGTCGATAACGCCAAGCTCCAAAGCAGTTTTGAGTACCATGGGAAAGGCCATGGCATGCAAGATCCTCTCCGCTTGCAAGTTCACCGTATCTTCGTCAAAACGTTGTTCTTCTTTGATTAGATCCGGTTTAGGAATGGTGGTTAAGGAATGTTGAATATGGTTCGCCATTGTTATTGTTGGTTAAAAATTTGAGAAAGATAGTAAGAGAAAGTTGGTTTCAAGTTTCAACTTACTTACTGTCACTTTTTATACGGAGAAAGCTCACCAACATTATGCGTAATATTTTATACCTAAATATTTAAATTAATGAGAATATTACACGTATTTTTATTGTAGAAGTAATATTGTGTAATATTTAAAATGATTTAGGTGTACGAAGAATATGTAGAGATTTGTTTTCAGTTTTAGTGTGCGTTTATCAGTACAACTTTCCTAATTGAATGTGAATGTCGTGATCATACTCATTAAGTGTGAATCGTTGGTAAGTACTAAGTAGTATAATCTATGATTAATCTTTTCACAGTACTATAGTCTACATTAATTAACACTCCATTTTAAGACAAAGTGAATTTATATGCTTTGATAGTTTCATTGATGCAACTATTTTTGTTTTGGTTTGAGGACACTTTTAAGATAACAAGCGAATGAAACTGAACTAAACTAGGGAAGAACATGAAAATTTCTGAATGACCGTACGTGACCGATTGTATTCGGTAAATTACATTTTGTTTTAAAGGAATCAAAACAAATTTAAATATGGTATTGGTAGCTACTGAATCCGTTGATTACAACTTAAGATACGCATTCAACAATGTATGTAAAGGTAGGTACGAAATCAAATTCAACATTTAAGAAAATGGAGAAATAGGCTTGGTATGTGTTAATGAATGTTCAACAAACAACCAAGTTTTAGTGATATAAGTGGGCATACGTGTAGAAAGCATTTCAATTAGGAGTTTCCTATAACCCTCTTGGTGAGCAAGACACTTTCTAAATATGTCTTTAGAATCTGTGATGGAGTTGGATCATATCTTCAGCTATGTGGTCATTGGCACTGCAAAGTCATCCAACGTATATAAAACTAAAAGGGGTAATTGTTTGGTGATATATTGACATCTATGTAGTCTTAACACTTTGCACTAATTAATCAAAATTTACCCGGGGCATCTGCCCCCCACTTATAACATGTAGCTCCATACTTTAACCATGTGCTCTTCAGGGGCGGATCTACAGTGTAAGGGGGTGGGGCACGTGCCCCATACTCTTTCTTAATAATTATTAAATTTATCAGTTTATGACATGAATATCTCTTAGCTCAATTGGAAGGAGTGCCCCATATAAGCTCAAGTGATCTGAGTTCGATGCCCACTAACTACAATTGTTTTTCAATTTATTTTTTTTCCCACAGTTTTTTTACTTAAAAAAAAATTTTATTACTTAAAAGAAAATTTTATTACTTAAATATGATTGGTGCCCCATACAAATTTTCATCCTAGATCCGCCACTGGTGCTCTTGTTGTCAATTAATAAAAAAAAAATCGAAATGCATGGTCAATAGATCGCCAAACAATTCGCCCTCTGGATAACTTTTGCAGTGCCTAATTGTTTCTTTTTGTTCAACTTGCGGTGTCACTTAAATAGCCACATTTATGTCCATATGGGCGCATATTTTTCACCTTGAAAGCATAGATTTAGAGAATATGCACTATATAACCAAATTCTACTAGGAAGTCAAACAATGCAAAAATCAAATTCTACTATTTTATATACAAAATAATGGACAATAAAACATGAATTTCCTACGGGATTAACAAATATCATGTTACTTTTGCCGATAGTACGTACTCACATACGAAAAACAATCGGAACAAATGAACAGCGCAATACACAAACAATATTACACACAAGAAAGAACCAACCATTACAAACAAAAAAGGTCAATGTTAGTCTCCACTCTCCACACAATAAAAACTAAACCACTCGTAGTTTTGTTGGTAAATGTTTATGTAATTCGATAACACTATATGAGAAAGCATGACATATATGATTCACAACGAATAAAACCCAACGATTGTGCTAACACAAACTGCATGTCCATAGCAAACACAATGTTAAAAGACACAATGTTAAATTCAAAAACATTAATTGTGTTAGATTCAAAAAAAAAAAAAACACAATGTTAAAAGAAGAGTCGTTCATCTTTGGTTCCACCGGCGTAATCCTGTCGACTAATATCACTTTTCCTTTTTCAGAAAGAATTTTCCAACAATTTTTTAGAATTTTTACACAATCTTCATCGGCCCAAATCATGTAGTATCCATTGTCATTTAAAATGAATCATTTTATTTTGTAGTCAATATATGTGTAACCATGAAATTATATTTTTCATAAGAAGGATTGTTATAGAATTTGTCTTTTTAACACTAAGAATGCCCTTTTATATTTTCAATGCATCATTTTAAATAAATTTCTAATTTTATCTATAATCTTTCAGCTTATTAATGGAGAAAAAATTCATAAATGTATTAAAGGTATAGGATAAACTTAAAAACTTTTAAATGTGTGAAAAAAATCTAAGACAACAATTTTGGGAAATAAAGATAGTATCTGTTATTGATGATAGAGAGGAACCTATTGTTATTACAGATGAATCAGAGTTTTTGTTGGTAAAATGTTGAACCTATTTGTGTAATTCGATAACACTATATGAGAAGGCATGACAAATGATTTCGCAACGAAGAAAACCCGAATCAGAGGCTAGAATCTCAAATTGTGAAAGAGTCCTCTCCTTACCACCTGAGCATTGTGTTAACATCAACATGTCCATGGCTAACACAACGTTAGAAGAAACGTCGTTGATCTTTGGTTCCTCCGGCGTAACCATCTCGACTATTATCACTTTTCCTTTCTCGGATAGACTTTTCCAACAATTTTTTAAAATCTTTACACAATCTTCGTCAGTCCAATCATGTAGAATCCACTGTCAATCATTTATCCATTTCATTTTCTAGATACTATATGGTTGACTAAGGAGTTATATACGTAGTAATAGGCACTTACCTTCATGAAGATGGCATCTCCCTTTGGAATTTCTTTAAACATATCTCCCGAAACATGCTCCACTCCTATTTATAACCGATTTTAATGAAGTAATATTGAGAAATAAGAGCTGTAACTAGCTAGTTTTATCACTTCACGGTATACCTTTATAAAGAGGAGCATGGACTAAAATCGATGCTAGATCGAAATTGATGCCTTTAATATGAGGATACTTGGAAGTCACTAGACCTATGACGGTTCCAATTCCTCCTCCCACATCCACCAAAGTATTTACATCTTCGAACCCTTTGTAAACTTTTAAAACCTTCTTCATAATCAATGTGGAAGCTTCCGACATTGCCCGGTTAAACATCTCAGCGAGTTGTTCGTTCGAACCAATGTATTCGAAAATCCTCATGCCATGAGCAGAGCTGAATGCATCCTTTCCTTCTAATATCACATCTTTGAGATGTGCCCTAGGAAAAATAAATTATTCATTTTTAGTTGACTTTACGTGTATATATATATATATAGCACATTTTGTGAATAATGAAGTAGGACGTACCAAGTCTTCATACAGCCTTCGCTTTGGAATACCATGAACAAAGTGGCGAGGGACCCCGAGCCATCTCCGCGGTTCAAGAAAAACTTGCAAACCGGTTCAGATGCATAGACCCTCTCAGCCTTTCTACTTCCAATGTTCTCTCCGGTTTCTACCGTACGGTACTTCAAGATTGAGTGGCTGGCTAGTAAAACCAGCATCCGGTCCAGTAATACCGGTGCATCCGGATTGGTGGGCTTGGTTGGGAGACCAAAAGCTATCTCAGAAGGCGAGAGCCACACGCCGTCATCTACAGAAGTGATCATGTCGATAACGCCAAGCTCCAAAGCGGCTTTGAGAACCATGGGGAAGGCCATGGCATGCAAGATCCTCTCCGCTTGCAAGCTCACCGTATCTTCATCAAAACGTTGTTCTTCTTTGATTAAATCCGGTTTAGGACTAGTAGTTAAGGAATGTTGAAGGTGGTTCGCCATTGTTGTTATTGGTTGAAAAAATGAGAAGGATAGGTAATAAGATGGTAAGAGAAAGTTGGTTTCAAGTTTCAACGTTCATACTTTGGTGTCCTTTTATACGGAGACCTAACCAACGTTAATTATGCCTGATATTTTATAGCTAAATATTAAAATATGAAAATACTACACGTATGTTTTATTTATAGAATTAATATCCGTGAAATATTTAAAATGATCTTCTTATAAATTGGTGTACGAAGAATAGGTAGATATTTGTTTTCAATTTTATTGTGCGTTCATCAGTACAACTTTCCTAATTGGATGTGTCCGTTCATACTCATTGAGTGTGGATGACCTCAAATTGTTGGTGACTATAATCTATGAATCTTTACAGTACTATAATCTGCATTAACACTTCATTTTAAGACTCTGAATTTATATGCTTTGATGGATATTCATTGATGCAACTATAATGTTTTGGCTTGCGGACACTTTTAAGATAACAAGCGAAAAAATAGAAAAAAAATGAAACTGAACTAAACAAATTTTTCTGAATCGACCATCACCGATTTTATTCGGTTAATTACAATCTATTTTCATGGAATCGATTTTTTTTAATATGGTATATGTGTTGTTGTGCTTCTATGTTTGAGTAGTTTTTCAATTGGGTTTGGGATTTTCAAAGGAATTTCATGAATTGATGATATTAGGTTGCTAGATTTGGGATCTTATTTATGGGTTCCTCATCTATGGTTGTTCTACTGCTTAATCTAGACTAATCACCTAGATTATAATCTTAAGTTTAATTCTTTGGAGCACCAAAATTGAATTGCTTGAAAAAACATCGGTGAGCAAGGTATCCTTAACCAACGAGAGTTGAAGTTAAAGCATTTTGTGAACAAATAAAAAAAAAATTGAATCACTAAGAGATTTTGGGTTTAGGCTCGTATATCCCTCAGACCGGAGACTAGAGCATTTAATATGGTCTCCTCCCAAGCGTCACTTGAACCAATGACCTCTAAGCTTGATTCAGAACAAATCAAACTTGAGTTGCTTGAATTCTTAAAATCAAATGAGAGTTTAGTTTCTAGTGATTTCATGGTTTAGATAGTTAACACTGCGAGAGTGGGTTAACTTTACCTTAGTGATTTGAGTTTGGGGACGATGCTTAATTTGATTTCTGTTTATCTATGCTTTCATGAATCCCTAAGATTTTCATGGTCCAATGTTTTAATCTTATTGATTTGCATTGCTTTTATTTTCTGCTAAATTTAGGAAAACCCAACATTCACTTTTCTTTTATCTCTATTCGATTCTAACGAATTTGTATTGTAACTTTTGGTATTTGTGGATTCGATTCTAATGTGATACATCGATATACCATTCGATTGTGGTAGTATGCGCATTAAATTTTAGTTGATGTGTTAATCAAATCCGTTGATTAGAAACACATTCAATAATGTATGCAAAGTAGGTACGAAATCGAAATCAATATTTAAGAAAATGGGGAAATAGGTTTGGTATGAGTTAATGAATGTTCAACAAACAATTAGGTTCTAGGGATATCAGTGGGTCCACGTGTAGAAAGCATTCCAATTAAGAGTCTCCTATAACCCTCTCGGTGAGCTAGACACTTTCTTAATCTGTCTTCAGCTATGTGGTCATCGGGTTAAAGTAAGACAGCGAAAGCAGCTTAAGCCTGTAACTTCCACTCATCTATAGTGCTGGCCGGTTTATGTTTGATAATTCAAATAGGTCTTTTTTTTTTTTTTTTTTTTGCTAAGAATTCAAATAGGTCTTGGATAATCCTTGCTGTATTACTCTATGTTTCTGAATCCATTTTGGTATTTGGATATTATACAAGTAAAAATATCTGAGAAAATTACAAATGTAGTTTAAGTGAACCTGTAATCATTGGAGATTATTTTTCTTCTGGCAAATTATATACTTTAGAGTAACCATGTGCTCTTCTTGTGGTCAATTTTATTTAAAAAATAATCAAAATGGTCAATAAATCACCAAAGAATCACCCCTATTAGTTTTATACACGTTTGATGACTTTTGCAGTACCTATTGTTTGTTCAACTTGCAGTGAGACCACTTATAAATACCACATTTATGTCCATATCACTACAAGAAAACATAGGCTTTTCTTACCAAATTTCCTACCAAATATTTGGTAGGAAACTATTCCTACCAAATTCCTACGCATTTGTTACGAAATGTATTTTTCGTAGGAAATTCGAATGAAATTCCCTACGCCAAAACTCGTGAGAAGTTTGTAGGAAATTTCCTACGAAATTCCTACGAGAAAAAATATCGTAGGAAATTTCGTAGGAAAAAGGAATGAAAAGCGAAGGAAATATTTGGTAGGAAATTCGAAGGTATATTTCCTTCCCGTTTCCTACGAAAATACCTTCGAAGGAAATTTCGTAGGAAATGTCGTAGGAAATTTCGTAGGAAAGTTATGGGAAAATAATTGGTAGGAAATTCGAAGGTGAATCGTAGGGATATTCTTCCGATTCCGATTAGTGTTTAGTAAGTTTATAATCTTGTAGTATATATTTAAAAAAAACTTGAATGTTATAATTATGATAAATATATTATGTATTATGTATAATTATTATATTATTTATTATTAGATATTTTATATTATTTATAATTTTGATAATATTTATGTCAAATTATCTTCAATTATAAAGAATTATATATAAAATTAAATTAGCTAGGTAAACTATATGTTTTAGTTTTTTTAAAAAAAATTATAATATCAAATGAATACTTTTTAATGTTTCTGTTATTTAAAAGTGTTTTTTTAAAAAACTAACTATATGTTTCTTTTAATTAATTATATAAATTATGTTGTTAAGGGCCTAAACATTTTTTATTTGTCTAATTGGGCCTTAATAATATATTGGAGACAGCCCATGTTCCCCCTTTTGCCCCAAAACGCACAAACCCTATCGTTTTCTTCTCCTTCTTCGTTTTTTTCCGACTCTCCACCGTTCTTCACCATCATCGATCTTCTTCTTCTCCTTCTTCTCCTTCTTCGGTCTTCTTCTCCGACGCGACAAGGCAAGTGTTCTTCTCCTTCGTCGGTCTTCTTCTCCTTCTTCGGTCTTCTTCTCCGTCGCGACAAGGCAAGTGTTCTTCTCCTTCGTCGGTCTTCTTCTCCTTCTTCGGTCTTCTTCTCCGTCGCGACAAGGCAAGTGTTCTTCTTCTTCTTCTTTTTGAATCCTAGTTACAAGTTTCTCACTTTTCTTTTTCACTTTTGGGAAGCTCGAAGATCTGAGGAGTGTGAGAGAGAAGCATCTTTGAAGTCGCCGGAATCTTCCAAACCGGAGGTCAGACTACGGTTTAAAAGGTAACTGGGTGTAATAAAGTTTGTTCTTTTATAAGATTTAAGTAGTTAATTGTCCGAATCGGAAGTGAATTGGTGTCTTTTTGCTGGTTATTGAAACATGATTTGGTCTGGGCCGGGTAAACAATTTAGGAGGATATTCTTGTTCTAGAGAGACTTGAACTTGTCTCTCCTCCACATCTATCGTCCGCAGAGGCTTAATCTCCATTCAGACTTTAAGAATTTCCATGGCAGACCCGAGAAAAACAATGTCCCGGAAGAAGAGTCACTCAAACCCATCAAACTATCGTTTTACCCCACCGCCTTTTCCTCTATTTACGGTATATCTACAACTTTAGCTTCTGATTTCAAATTAAACTCCTCTTCTTTTTTTTGTATCTAAGTTCATACCCACATAAGAACAAGAATCAGTTGTATGCACGTTAGCATCGGTGGTTGACTTGTTAGCTGCTCCAGGCCGACAAAACCTGCCCTACCTCAGTCTGGAAAGGGAAGGAAGCAACATATCAAGAACCGATGGTTCAGAGCTTTTGTGGTAAGCGTCTTTGTATATTGTAAAGCTTTTATTTGCATTCAAGTTTTTATTTGCAGTCAAGTTTATTTGCAGTCAAGTTTCTAATTAGACACATTATCTATGACAGCAAGAGTTCCACTGGGACTCAAGCATAGGTGAATCTCTTGGCTATGTTTCTGTTAAAGATAATTTTTTTTCCAAGTCTGTTTTTTTTTCAAGTCTGTCTTTTTTTGTTCAAGTCTGTTTTTTTCCTCTCTAGTAGGTTCTTCAATGATATATTATCTCTCTTGTAGGTTCTTGAATGATATAAGATTATTTTGAACAAGTTAACTTTGTTAAGGTTTGGTTAGCGGGTCTGGTTTTGTTCATAATTACTTAAGGTTTGGTTACATTCTTGATGTCTACGGGTCTGGTCTAGTTCATACTTTCTTATGTGTTTGGTTCTGTTCCTGACTCACTTGTAAGAGTCTGGTCTTGTTTCTTAAGTATTTGCTATGTTCAGCTTAAAATTTTATTCCTAAATTCTTGTCTAATTCAAGTCTGATTTTGTTTCAACATGTTTTTAATCACTTTACTAGTTTCAAACTTCTTCAGTTCTTGTCTAATTCAAGTCTGTTTTTTTTTCAACATGTTTTTAATCACTTTACTAGTTTCTAATTGAAGGATCAACTTCCACAGCTCCACGCCACACCGCGAAGTTACTTGAAAAGATTCAAACACTCATGGATCGTGACGTTGAGAAGGATCGCCAACTCGCATATCTTATGAAATGCAACAAGCTCCTCCTCCAACAATTTTCACAAATTCAACCACCGCGTTTTCCGACAGTCCTGAATGAGACGATGAACACGAGCGTAGATGACGATGACGACAACGAGACTCAAGAGTAGATGATTAGGATTTAATCATTTGTATTCATTTGTACAATGAATTTTAATTGTATGGAGTTTAGTTTTAAATTTAATTTTAAGTTTCTTTTGAAATTTAAATTTAATTTCTTCATAAAAACAAAAATTAGAACAAATAAATAAAAATAATTTTATTAAAATTTTCTCTAAAATTTCGTAGGAAACTGGTAAGATAATTTTGGTAGGTAATTAGTGAGAAATATTTCGTAGGAAAGTTGTAGGATTAATTATATTTCCTACGAAAATTTGGTAGGTAATTAATGAGAAATATTTCGTAGGAAAATTGTAGGACTAATCAAA